ATGGGGACGCTGGGAGTGAGCAGTCCGGGGAAGCGCAAGGATTTGGAGCGTGAGTGGAACCGGATAAGAAATAGCGTTGAACGGAGCGAGTTCTGATCGTGGTGTGTGCGACGGCAGGCTCGGTCGGGGATGGCAGATGGTGTGGAAGGACGCGAGGGGAAGGGTGTGCAGGGAGCCCGAGAATTACGAAGACCTCGAAGAGAGGTTCAAGCCGGGTTACATGGAAGAAGCGATCCTGAAGTGGGTTCAACCCGGCGAGACGGTAGAGGAAGCGGCAGCGAGGTGGGAGGTTGACTGGCGGGTGTTGTGGGCGTGGATCAAAGAGGATCATAGTAAGAACGTCGCGAGGGATGCGGGAATGACGCAGAACTGGGAGTGGCAGACTTAGCGAGTAATAATAGACGAGTGCGATAAGAGACGGATACGATTATTATGTGTAAACTGTCGTGGGGCCGACTTGCTTGTAAACGTGAGATAGACATGGGCGAATGTGACATATGACGTGTTTCGAATCGAGATACTGGGTAGACATAAGAATGAAATCGAGAGTTGCAAGTTTGTAAGTGAAAAGTGGTAACCCCGAATAAATCTGGACGGCGACTTGGGAAATTACCCCCCTAGTCATAGGGTTACCCGCCAGGTCGGGGGGGAAAGTTACCCGCCAGGACGAGGGGGGTAATTACCCGCAAGTCCAAGAGGGTAAAATTACCCGCCGCGCACGGTCGGATCCTGACGGTCGGATCCCTAGGGCCTCGCGCGCGGGAACGGACCGTCGATTTACTAGCGAAACACGGTCCGTTCCAAATATTATATAGTTAGGTTTTCCAAAAGTTAAGATTGGGTTTTGGTCTACTACTGGGTGCCTATTGACATGCCAAACGGATTCGTCTGGGGTCGCATACTAACCAACCCCACCCCCGGGAGCCCCCCTATAACCCCTAACCCTACCCAATGCTGTCTCCAGCTTCCAGGGACTTTGGCTCGGTACAGACCACTGTTGTCTGGGAAGACACCACGCTCAAGGTCAAAATCTATCCCCGGCTGGTCCATGTCATCAAGTCATTCAACAGCCGGCTGCAGGGAGAGATCCTGAAGACATTACATGGTGTCAAGACTCGGTTCAAAGCATCTGTCAACATGGTGCAGATGTTGTCTCAAGTCCCGGAAGAAGAGATTGGAGGGTTCAGGATTGAGGTCACCGTGCCTGCACCAACGCTGGCTGCCGCGTGCATGTGGATGGACAGAAGTCCATTGACCGAGATAGGATTCTGGACCAACCCAACTCCCGGTGGTGCTGGTCCCAAGGTCAACATGATGGTCACCAGGAAGGAAGCACTACTCCTCAATGCCAACTGGATGGTGCAAAGAGCAACCACGTTGAAGGTCTTCCAGGGGACCAACACCCACCCGCCCACCATGCTCCAAAAGCAAGTCACCGCAGACGTGCTGGCTTCTTTTGGGTGGAATACAGGGAGGTACAAGGTCACCAAAGCCAGTGACAAGGCTGCATGGTGGAGAGGCAAAGGTGCTGAAGGGGAACAAGGAAATCCAGACATCCCCCAGCTGGATGAAGCACGTACAGGAACACACCACAGCCAGCCCAACACAACCAAGGTACCCGACACTGTCATCTCCCAAGTCCTGGTACAACTCAACAGGATCTACCCGGGAGATGCAGGTACCAGGGATCTGGTCAAGGAACTGAGAAAGCATCATCCCAACCGTGACATCCCTTGTCAGAAGGATAGCAAGCACGCCTACAACATCTACGGCTGGGGTCCTTTCCGGATGAGGTGTGCCGAGTGGACGTGCAAGCACCACCTCAATGCAGGCAACTCCTACATCTGGTTTGCCAATCTCATTGCTACGGGACAAGTACCAGGTCATCTGCTTGGTCTTCCTCCAATGGAAGGTCTCCCTGTAGTTGCCCCACCACCTCCAGTCAACAGGATCACATCCGAGCGTGCCAAGTTGATTGCCGCGCGTCAGAGCCATGTCGCCAAAAAGGCCAAACTACTGGCATTCAGGACGACATCCCAGACACCTGCCCCATCACCATCCCACCCTCCTCACACACCCATCTACTCAGATCAAGTCAGTCTGATCAGAGGTTCCAATCCCCCGGCATACCATACAAGTCACACTGCAAAGGACGGCAACTGTATGTTTGGAGCTGTGGCCTTCGGTCTCGGGCAGGGGTACACCGCAGCCAAGGTGAGGGAGGAGGCTGTTGAATGGATACGTGTGCACTATGAGGACTACCTCCCCTTCATAGAATATGGAGAAGAAGGACAGGCAGCAGCATTCAGGGAGTACTGGCAAAGAATGAGCCAGTCGGGTGAGTGGGGTGATGAGCCAGAGATCAGGGCCATCTGCGCGTGTTACAAGGTCAGGATCTCAGTCCTGAAGAGACGGGTGGATGGGGGTCTTTTCTGGAGACACCATGGTCAGCCAGAGCATACCAGGTGTATCTGGCTCTATCTCAGTAACAACCACTATGAGAACCTGTACCCTGCTCATCACATCACCCGGGTCTGGTGAGTGACGGGTGTCTGCGGTGTCTGCGGTGACTGCTGAGCTGATGTTGTTTACTTTGTGGCTCAGATGCCCCGCGCGTGACGTGACAAACAACCACTTGGGCAAACAACCCCACTGTTTGAGGGATACACATGTAATGATTAGAATGAACTTGTTGACTGAATAGCATATACATGACAGCTGGATAAGGAACAGATGACCTCAGTGGTGGGAATAGATTGATGCACGAGGGGTGACTTGCACACGCGCGGTGACAGGCTGTTTGTTTACTTTTTGCTGCCCCCCGCGCGAGACAGCCTGATGACGTGGCCACCCACGCGCGGGACAGACATCCTATGGATATGCTCAAGTCACGTCAACAACCTCACCCCCAAACTGCCCAACGTGATTTCTAAGTCATTTCACCTTCAAAATGGTCCAACCAAACGGGATAGTGTTCTGGAACTTTCAGACAATTTCATTTTTTGGGAACTTTAACTTTTTTTTTTGACTTTCGAGGTCATTTTGACGTGTTTTTGACCCGTAGCAGTCACAACAAGGGTCCAACGACAGATTGGATAGTTCATTTCTACTGTCCAAAGGTGCCTCTATCCATTGGTACAACCCTGGGAGCGCTGGGATGAGCGGTTCTCAAAAGTGTGTTTCATACCCGGGGGTCGGATCACCCTATAACCCCTAACCCCTAACCCCAAAAAACAGACAGCTGTTCATCTGTAAGCAAACGTGAACCGGACATACAAGGTTGTGGACAGACAGATGATCAGCCATGCCCCGTCTGCAGTGCATCCATGAATTGACAAGTACAGACATTTGTTGTTCTGCACAAACACTTGCTCACTCGCCAACAGATTCCTGTTCACTTAATCACAAACGTGGACAAGACATGTAAGGCTGTGAACAAACAGCCGTTCCCTCATGCACCGTCTCTGGTGCACCCTTGATTGAACAGCTGTTCACGTGCTGACCTGCATCAACAGGCAATCAGGGCCAAGCACTGACGTCTGCCCACAACCCAACATGCAGATGTTTACTTATGCACTGATGCAGACAGGACTTGCAAGGCTGTGCACCAACATCTGTTGACTACTGCACAGTTGTTGGTGCATGCCAGATAGAACATCAGTTCACATGCCCAACAACATGAACTGGTATGTGGAGATGAGCACCAACACCAGTCCACCTGTCAACATCCGTACGTTCACATGCAAACAAGAATGCATAGGACATTCAATGCTGTGCTACAACATCCGTTGTCTGATGCACGGATTGTTGTGCACCTGTGATCTAACAATGGTTCTTGTGTGAACTGTCGTACACCGGCAACCTGGTTTTTGCACCACTGCTAGTTCACTTCTGAACATTTGCGGGTGTTGTGATGATCAGACGTGCACCAAACCAAAATGGCTGTGGACGCACATCTGTTGACATCAGCACACATCTCAAGTCAATGTGAACAGACATGTGTTGACACATTCACTGTTCTGCACCAACAGACAAGGCCAAGCACAGTCACTGGTCCATTTGTCAACCAATGTTTGTTCATATGTGAACAGCTGTGACATGTAATGCACAGACTCCACTCACTAATTGTGCAATTGTGAGCAAACAAGTGATCATTTGTGAACAAGACCTGGTGCTTGTGCAAACACACATACACCGGTATTCCAGATCAAGCACTGACATTGGCTCCTCTGCCAACAAATTTGTGTTCTTCTGTGGACAGGCTATAGCTAGATGCACCAACACCAATCACTGCCAGTTCACATGTAAACACATCCTCACAACATGCGAGCAAACATTTGGTTGTGGGCCAACAGACGGCTGCTCACATTTACACACACCGCCAACCATAAGTGATCAGATACCCATTCAATTTGAACAAACCACACTTCACCTTGCTAGCCTGTGTGAACCAATTGAGCAGCACTAGCACCAACATTGTGCATTGACTCCCTCCAATTATTGCCCTGGATCCTGATAAGAGAAACAAGAGAAAGTATCCGTGGCAGATCAGTAGATCGGTAATCAGCTTAGTTTCGTTATTGGATTAAATGTATCAGTATGGTTTCGCTGCCGACGTTCAATCGATGCGTGCGAGGTGACCCCATGCAAGCTGGATCGAAAGAATGGTAGTGAATCGAGGCTACCTGTGGGCCCGAGTCTCTCTGAAATCACTCATACGCCGGTCGAGAGACAGTATCTAGTAGTATCACCTTGTCAACGTCGGTCGAGCACGTCGCTCACGAAACACATACGCCGAGCTGATTCGATTCGCGTTACGACCTTTGCGACCTTGCTCAGCATCTTAGTTATATCTTGTACTTTCGCTACACTCACTATCATCCGTCATCATCGTGAAACACCGTCGTCTTGCTCCGCAACCTCGTCGTCATTACTCTAGAATATCACTTCAGCTTTCGCCGTCCTTCAACCCGTGATCGCAACAGCTCGAATCCCGAGGCCGGAGGTCGCGGTCGATCATCGATCACATCCACTTACTTACCCGGATCTACACCGCATCTTTCACACATTCTGGAGACGAGGCTATTCGGACCGACCTGAGCCACTGAGATCTAGAGGTAGACGACAGCCTCACGAGCCAACGACATTCATCATGGACGAGCCGAACGGGGTCGAAATCCCACCTATCGAGAACGAAATGACGGGGAAAACCACCCCAGTACCCATCGCTGCAGGTCCAACCGAGCCCACCCGGATCAACGTCCCCATCCCCCCTATGCCCTCAACTGACCGACCCATAGATTACTGTTTCTCCAACATGATCTACTGGCTGGACGACAGTATCTCCTCGGAACAACGTGACGTGCTAGATCGGTTATTGAGGGAACGGGGTGGGAGGCCGGTAGCTCGTCGGGGTCGAGGTGACGATCTCGAAGCAGACGATATGGGGGATGGGCATACGAATGGAGAGCTTGGGGAACGGGACGTCGATATGGCCGCTGTCGTACCAGCACCGGAGCATGCTCCCCCCGATAACCACACCGATACCAATGCCGACCCCGCCAACAACGACAGCGATCCGAACCTCCTCCTCATCAACCCCAGCATGGCACGGTTCGACATCGACGCCTGTACGCACATAATCACTCGGTCTTGGAACATCCTCGAGAGGCGGATCATCGAGCAAGACCCTAGGTTGAGAGAGAGGTTGAACAACGGGACCGGGACTGGGAATGGGAATGGGGAGGGTGTTAGTGGAGGTGGGGGTGCGGGGTTATGGATCGTCAAGGTGAGTCGTTCGTCGTCAGCTGTGTAGTGGTCGTCGTCTGCGCAGATCATATGATTGAACTTGTGGATTACTCTTCGGCCGGTCTTACCATTCTTGTATGGAACCTATATTGACCTATGGCTATTACTCTGAATACTCAACCGGAACGACACGCAGCCAGAATGGGTTACTAGGAGCGTTATCGTCGGTTTACAATCGTCAGTCCCCTTTGTCATTTCCCCTCTACATGTGTCGAGATTCGGAGATGCTACGTCAAGATCGTGGTCTTTCGTGTCAGATAGCTGATCTCGGATTCACCGCCTGGACATGTGATCATTTGACTACCGCAATTACAGGCCGCAGCACTACTCGCCCGATCCCAAGTTGATCTTTTCGGGAATCATCATCAATTGTGCCGAGGGTGTAAGTTTTAGTCCCGGATGATACCGCCTCACACTCTCCCGTTCAAAGTCCTGTACATGAGAGCTGACACTTCCAACCTCTGACCCTTTCGACCCGCCCCCCCTGACAGTTCCCTGCGGGCGACATCGACGCGATCTACGGCGCCGTCAACACCTTCGGCGGGCAACATCGTCGGTTCGCGACCAAGGAGATCACGCACATGATCTGCGTTCAGCCTACACCGCAGCAGTTCAAGACGATCACCGAGACGGGTTTGGGGATCAAGATTGTGCTTCCCGAGTGGTGAGTCGGCGAACGTCGCGGGTTTCCCAAGCGTTGATGGGGTTATCGAGGGTGTGCCTGAAGGATTGGTGAATTGAAAGCTTACATTCGTCTCTGACCGGCGATAGGATCCAGGAATGTATCAAGCTGCGTCGACTCGTCCCCGTCGAACCGTTCGAATTCACCTCGGCCACCACCCCACCTCCCATCCGCAACGCCCTCCTCACCGACCCGGAAACCTCGGCGGGCAAGGTGAAGCGAGCGTTCATCGACCAGGACGACCATCAACGGACGCTTCTGTGGACTTCGAAGCGGGACATCGACCAGGTGTTCGTGAATGAACAGGACCCGAACGCCGTCCAGCAGACAGGGGTGTTTGCCGGGAAACGGGTCCTGTTGGGTGTCGAGCTGGGGATCAACGCGCAGACGAAAGAAGCGCTGGATCAATGGGTGATCATGGCGGGTGGAGTGGCAGTATCGGGAGAGGCCGAGTTGGAGAGCTGTGACGTCTACATTACGAGATGGAGGGAGGGACCTGGATATTCAGCTGTGAGCGTGCCAGATCAATGCGACCTGAACTTGACGTCAGGACTGATCGTTCGGCTTCGTCCATGCTCCAGGCCATCAAAACCGGCAAGACGGTCGGCACTCTGATGTGGTTCTACTACGTCTTGCGAGTCGGTCGTCTGACTTCGCCTATGGACGAACTCCTGCACTATCCGGTGCCCAGGGATGGTGTAACAGGTTTTGCTGGTCTGGTGAGTCTCGAGACAATGAGATGCTTCGGCGGCGTCATCCGGACTTACCCTTGATCTACCTCGCAGAAAATCGCCATCACAAATTACACCGGCGACTCGAGAGAATACCTGAAAAAGCTCATCACCGCCATGGGAGGGACGTGGACGAACGACATGGCCAGGACCGAAAACACGCACCTCGTCGCGGCCAAGTGAGTTTGCGTTCCTGCCAACATCTCTTGGCAAGCGATCGTGAAATCTGACGATCCGAATTTTCGCAGCACCCACAGCGACAAGGTACAACGAGCTCGACACTGGGGTATCAACACGGTAAACCATTTCTGGCTCGAAGACTGTTTCGTGCGATGGGAGCGTGTCGGCGAGGGTCATCCGCGTTATACCGATTTCCCGCCTGGCGTCAACTATATGAGCCTTCTGGGCTCAACACACCTCTCGGACGAGACGTTGGCTCGCTGGACCCGCAAGGCGATGGCAATGGGTGAGGAAGAGGAGATGGGCGCGGTCGAGCAGGACGTACAGCTCGGTGATCCCACACAACCGACTCCGAGCGCTTCAGCCAGGCCTCGAACGCCGGGTCCGCCTCGGGAACCAAAGAAGAATGACGTTGACGGAGGATCGGGACTGAATGGTGATCTAGACATGGATCTCGCAGACGAGACGACCCCAAAAGCCGGACCATCTCGGCAAGTCCAAGCATCTCGATCAGCTAGTCCCATACCCAAAAAGACACCCGCTTCGAAGCGTAGCAAGAGGCGAAGCGAGTCACTAGCGGGATCGGCGGACGAAGACAGGCCTGCTCCTTCAACGACGAAGCGGCGACGAAAGGAAGCTATGCCAGCGGCTCCAGCCGAAGACGCCCAGTTGCCGGTTCCGACGGGCAGAGCGAGGAGACAGGCTGCCACCAAAGCCGAAGACGCCGTACACGCCATGGCCGAAGATATGAACCTGTACAATCGAGAAAAGAAGCGCAAGGACATCATCCCGCCGTCCGAGAGAAAGGCTGCAAGGGTGATCGAAGATGGGGACACGAGCGATGCGACGACGAAACGCGGTCGACGTAGATCGAGCCGACTCGATACCGAAACCGAGGCCGAGGCGGAAGACGGCGAGGTCGAGGTCAAACCGCAAGCCAAGTCTTCGCGCTCGAAGAAACAGCCTATCAAACGCAAAACAAGTGACGAGCGAGAATCCGAGGCCGAGGACGTCAAGCCCGTAGTCGATGGCACCAGCATCTACCTGGCTACTACCGGGACCGTGCTGATGGCGGCGCAAAACAAGTTTTTCAAAAAGCACGGCGTGGTAGTTACGGATGATGGCAAAAAAGTTACAGTGAGTCACCACGTTTTTCGAGCCGAACTTGTTGTTCCTTGAAACTGACCTTCAGGCGACCTCGTTCGTACCATCATTCGCAGCACCTGGTCGCAGATAGCATGAAACGCACTCCTAAATTCCTCGTGGCAATGAACGCAGCGCCAATCGTAGTGACAACATCGTGGGTAGAAGCGTGTGTCAAGGCGGACGAGTTGGTCGGTAAGCATGAATGCGATCTCCCAATACCACCGTTTGCTCGACCGCTGATAGATCTCCCCCGCCTCAGACGAAGCGGACCATCTGTTGAACGACACGAAAAACGAAAAGAAACACGGATTCAAGCTGGCCGAAGCGCTGGAACGCGCTGCAGAAGCCAAAGAACGAGGCGGTCTCATGATAGGGCATCGACTGATCGTCGTGAGTGAACGTGAACGTACTTTATCTCCCACGATCACGAGCTCACACCGCGATCCTCTTCAACCCGAGTACAGACTGCCGGACTGAAACCTACGCTCCCCTTGATCAAAGACCTGATCACCACGGCTGGCGGGACGGTCGAACTGCATTCCAACTCGAAACGCCTGACCGTGGAACCGGGTGCCAAGACTTACCTGATCAGCTGCAAGGAAGATCGAGCGACGTGGAAAGCGTACGAGGAAAAGGGGGTCCCGATCGTGTGAGTCCGGACGTGGTGCGGTCGAATAACCTGGGCGCTCATCATTGGTCTATTGCGCTTGATGTCGTTGATAGTGGCAAAGAATACGTGTTACAAGGGATCTGGTCGATGCGACTCGAGCCGGACAAGCATCCGTGCGAGTCGTGAGAGAGACAACGTAGAGCGGCCGGGAGTTGATGTCGTATAGAAGCGTGTCGTGAACGGCGAATGAATTGATCATAATCGAGAATGTCCCGGTTTCGTCGACGGTTATGTGGTTGTCGATTTGCTGTGACTGGCGTGCGAGATCGTCCAGAGCTTTGGCAGAGTATGGAGGTTGGCCAGTGTATGTGGAACGAGCCACGTGCGAGTGGGTATTAGGCGTGTAGTCGAAGTGTTCCCAAGACGTTTCCCCTTCTTAATCCTCCTCCCCCAAGACCGCTGCCACATCCGCATCATCATCCTCGTCCGACTCTTGATCATCCGTCGGCAGACCTGCTGCAGCACCTCCTATCCCTGACGCAGAACCGCCCGACTCCCCTCCCGACCCTACCAAAGCCGCCCTATCTTCCGCTCTTTCCCCTGCCCTCCCATCCGTCTGCTTCGCAGCCTGTACCATCATCATCGCCTTCCCCATCCCCTTCTGCCCTGCCGTGCCCGGTGGGAGGACCTCTTTCGTCTTTTCCTTGTCCCCGATGACGTCCTTCCATTCGGTCAGACGGGCGTTGAGGGTATCTTTGGCGGATGAGAGGGAGGTGAGGAGTGCGGTGTAGTGGGGAGAGTCTGAGGTGTTGTATACTTGAACGGGAGGGGTCTCAACGTTTGAGGTTGAGGTGGACGTCCGATCGTTATTGTTATCGCCTAATTCCCGCTGGGGATCCGAGGAATCGTTGAAATTGATGGGGAACTGGGTGGAACCTTCACGGGCGAGAGAAGAAGACGATGGTCCTGCGAGGTCGACCCCGTCGACCTGGGCTATGGACCATTCGATGGTGACGTGTTGCGGAGTTTGGGGTGACATTTTTGGGAGTACAAGGTTGTCGATGTGGCGTTGGGGCAAGGATTAAAGCTGATCGACTTGCAGGCGACCTCGAGTGCAGTTGTGATCGAGGAGATCGCGATTGAATGAATCGTGAATGTCAGGAGATGCGAGTTCTGGGATGCATCTCGTTTGTGCGCGAAAACTAGCGAAAAATCTAGCATTTTGGGGGATTTTCACCAAGATCTTGCTCTTCCTAGCGGCAGTTGCAAAATAAGCACAGTAGGTACAGTAGACTGCTCTGACTCAACGTTGCCGCTACGGGTGCCATCCTCAATTGACAGCGAGTTTTGACTAGTAGCCTATAGGTGTTTATTATTGATGGGGTCGTGTTCGTCGTGACCTCGTCCGACGTCAGGATGAGCATGTAGCCAATCTCCACGATGTCACGACCAATCTCCACGATATCACAAACACTATTATGGATCATGGGGAGGGATACATCAGTAACTTCCATGAGGTAGCTGTGGGTCAGTTCGCTTCTAGGACCATCGTGAGACAGATTGCGGGGGAGGTTGTTGGGGAGGCCATCTCTGCCGGAAGGCAACAGGTTAGCACGTTCATACTCAGATCAGACGCCAGGCAAGCTTATTAAACCGACTGTACTAGAACAGACTAGAGATCACATACAAGAATAGCTCAACAGGCAGATCAGATCAACTCAGAATCATGTTGCAGCCCAGATTACTGCTGCTCAGCGTCAAGCTACAGAACAAATCGCCTCTGCTGTCAGCTTAAATCGTAAACAAGGTCATAAAGAGGCGTAAAAAAGAAAGCCAAATCAAAACTTGCTTGTAGTAGCCAAGACCTGGGGCTCGTCGTCAAAGTGGAATGAGAAAGGGTGTCCTGTGTAGATTGAAGCCGGTTTTCAGGAACGGAATGAGAAAGGTTGATTTGATTGTGGTCGAGGGCATCACGAAAGTCGTCAGTCTTGGAACTGTCGTTTATACTGAATGTTTAGCAGGCATCATGCAAGCTAGAGCCAAAACAAGGTTGATTGGCATTAGAGATGCCGCATGTCAAGGATCAACCGATCGTTCAACTGCAAGAGAGCTTGCACTTTACTAATCAGGCTGTGTTTCAGTTGCAGCTGCAACTCACCAACATCAACCACAGCAATGCATCTCTCTTGACGGAGAACAGTCTGCTGGTCTGCTGGTCTCTAAGTCCATCACCTGCTCACCCAACTGCAGGGTTAGGGGTGGCTCAAAGTGGTGATCAGGACAAGGACCTTTACGGTGAACTGCAGCCCTACAAGTGGGTTTGTACTTTAACCCCAAAGGTTTTGTTCAACAGCTAACCGTGAAGTCTTTATCACTTTAAAGTCTGATCTCCAGATTGTATCAAATGGGACAAGGCTTTGACTGAGCGGGCCGCAAGACAAGCTGAACGTGACAACGCTTTGGCTGAGCGAAATGTAGCTTGGATCGAACTTCCAGGTCATCAAGAATAGCACCCGGAGGGGATCCCAGAAAAGTCAAGAAGCTCAAGGTAAAGGTCAAGGAGCTTGAAAGTTGATTTGCATTCAAAATCGCTGGATTGGGCCAAGTTTGTAGAGGATCACAACACGGAAAATGTCACCTTTTTGTCCAATTGTACTGGGTTGGAGCTGGACAGCGTGCTTGACAGGGTGCGCAAGGTGAGTGTTATGGATATCACGTGACGCGTCGGACGTGCCGTACGCGACTCCCGTATGCGACTCCCGCCGGGGGTACTTTTCGGTATTGTTGTTTTGATGTAGAACTAGTACCTCTGTAATAGCTCTACATCCGTTATTACATTTAGATGTCTACTCGTACCTTGCCTCATTCCTGCGTCCCGTCAGCCTGTCCAGGGTGACCCCCGCCGGGGGTCGCTCCCGGGCCTTACAGTGAGTTGATAAGATGGGATTGTAGAAGTACAGCTGCTGAACGGTGTCCTGGTGTAGCGTTAGGGTTAGGGTACCCTGGATCTTCGAGTATCCAGTGGTATCTATTGGCTAGTGGTATCTAGTCGACGAGTCGCTCTGGTAGGCCGATTGACGAAGAGCTCAGTCTTCGGTGTGTATAGCAAGAAGAATCACATCCTGACAAGATCGGGCAAGGCCGTCGCACTCCCACGTCATCTACCTTCAGTGATAATGGGTATGGAGGGGGGAAATGTCGTTTTCCGCATATCAACAGCGAGGACGTGAAGTAGTGTAGCTAGTAGCTAGTAGCCGTAATGTATGATGCTTGATGACAGGATGAAGCATTGCGCATTGCCAGGGTGTCCAAGTTGCCGAGGTTCAGATGAAAGGATCCAACGTCGAACGAGTTCGCGAGGTCCAGCTACTAGTACTCACATCGTACATTTCACCTCGTCGACACACTCTACAATTCTACAACTCCTGCGACGACGCTCTTAATCCCCTCTATCACTCTCAATTTAGGACCTGTCCAGAGAAGCTGATAGAGATAGAGACCTGGCATCTGGAACCACGCAGACGATGCCTGCAACGATGGCTACGCCGGCGAGCACGTCATATCGACCTCGTCGCCATAAGCTGCGATCGTACACTTCCACCTTGATCGTCGCCGTGACACTGCTGCTATCGACATTCTCATGCACGGCAGTAACAGCATCATCGAGAGGCACCCCTGATACTCTGGAGCTCCGACGGATAGCGAACGTGAGTCCAGACGACGAACGCACACATACCACTCCGATAGCTCGATGCCTGCTTCACTAACCCTGACATCCTCACCACTCCGCCGACATCAACCTCATAGGAAAGCCTCCTCTGGGGGACTTATCGTCCGCAACTCTACCACGGAATCAGAGCTCGGCTGCCGAAGAGCCTGATGACGGGGTTGATGTGGCACGGGTTGAACGATTATCCTTCTCATCGAGGTGAGTTCGTTGGCGTCTCATCAAGGAGCTAGAACTTTAGGCAGGGCGGGCGGGGCAGGAAGGAAGAAAGCAAAAGAAAGATAATAATGCAATCTCAGTATCGTAAGCTAATCATCGTCTTCACTTACCATGTCTTTGTGCTATACGACCCCCAAGAAATCCGGCACACCTGCGAACAATCCGACAGCCTCACCTCATACGCCTATACGCAACACGACGGGCGTACCTATTCCTCCCAAGAGTTGGTCGATGGGAAGAATAACATCAAGATCACTACAAAATTCTTGAAAAGTGAAAGCGGGGATGGATGGGTAGTTAGGGTTCGGGGGGAGGTTATCGATCCTGGTAAGCCGAGCGATAAAGTGTCATACACTCCACTTCGATTCATGCTACATGATACGGTCCCCTTTATCCTTCGAACTTTTGAGCTGCGGTTCGGTCGAGGTCAAGGGCTTTTCAGCTGATGAGGTTGGATTCATTTTACTTGCTTGGATGTTTCGTTCGCAGGCAAGATCTCCAGGACGAGCTTGATCTATCATTTCGGTCTTGAAGGGTTAGGAGAGTTACGGTTAGAGTCGGAGATCGATGAGGAGGTGAGTTGGGCGTCATGTCCATCATAATTTCCAGGGATATCGTTTTCGAGGTCGAAAGATCTTCGAGGAGGGACTCATCCTTGTGGAAATTGGAGGCTTATGCTAAAACTCGTCTCGGTTCACTTGTAGGGCATCGAAGGGGACGTCGTCTTGATCGGTAATTCGGTAGAGCTGGGTGATTTCAGGATCAGGATCGTGGATCGTGAGTGCCATCGCCTAGTCCATACGGCATGACCAAGCCGGGCCATATATGGTCATTGTCATCGTCGTCATCATCCCATTTCCTCCAAGGCCTTGAAATGCTAAATCAAAGGGCGATGGCTAACCGCGACCACGATTTTATTTCGCTTCGCTAGACCCGGACTCTGCCCGTGATCTGCGCGCACGACACCATGCCGATTTCGTAGATTCGACGACCAGGACGACTTTCGCCGGTGCGGCCATTCCTGACGGTGATGTCTGGCGGGTCAAGGGTGGGTTGTCTCGACTGCTTGTCTCCAGGTCCGAGGAACTCTCGCACTCAACCTAGATGTTTCCTAACCGTTGACAGACATGGTCAACCAAGCCATCATACAAAAGGCGGGGTCGATCATGCAGAGATACGGACCCGAGAACCCGCCCGACCCGGCTTATCTGTTCAGGCTGAACAACGTCATCCAGCCGGGCGCAAACGTCTTAGCCTTTCAGAAAGTAGGGGTCGGGGCCGATGTTACTGGGGGAGGTCCGTGGGGGTTTGACGTTTTCTTCGAAAAGCTCGACGGGAGTTCTGTGGATTGGGACTGTGAGTATGGCGACGTTCGGATTTACATAAAGCGATATCCTGAGCTTGATCTGACGGCGACCTGCTTCCCCCCCCCCTTGTCTCTGTGCGCTAGACGACACGCTCTCGCAAGCCTTTGCTGCCAAGTCGGCGGCGTATGACAAAAAGTTCGCCTCTTCATTTGACCTGCCTGAAGAGTATTCTAGCGACGAGTACGTGCGTTTTGCACAGGAGATGACGGCCAGTATGATCGGGGGGATCGGATACTTCCAGGGGGAATCCATCGTCGACCGGTCGTTCAAGCAGTCCTACGATGACGACGAGGATGAAGAGGATGAAGACGAGGACGAAGACGAAGACGCTGATGAGAAGTCGGTCATCACCAAGCCCAAGGGACCCATCATGGTCGGTCCTACCGAGCTGTTTACCGCTACGCCGAGTCGAAGCTTCTTCCCTCGAGGCTTTTACTGGGACGAGGGTTTCCATCTGGCCATCATTGCCGATTGGGACAACGATATTGCGTAAGTCGCGAGCGTTGACACAGGCACCAGTACGTTTCTCTGATCCAAGCTTGGTATCTGACGACACAGGCTCGACATCCTGAAGAGCTGGTTCGATCTGGTAGATGAAGATGGTTGGGTCGCACGAGAACAGATCCTGGGTGCCGAAGCGAGGAGCAAGGTAGGGCGGAGTCGTACCGACAGAAAGAGCGATTTCAAATGGTTCTGACGAATTGGATCCCACTTTCGCACCAGGTACCGGCCGAGTTTCAAACTCAATACCCTTCATACGCCAATCCGCCTACGCTGGTGCTGGCGTTGACCAAGTACATCGCCAAGCTGAAAGCTCAGACCGACGCCAACACCCTCGACAGCCAGCTAGGGTTCAACAGCGACGTGCAGCTCAAGGTAACGGACGACATTGCCGATGCCCACCTGAACAGTCCGGACCTCGCCGAGTCGTATCTTCGATCGATCTACCCGGCATTGCGTCGCCACTACCTCTGGTTCCGACGTACCCAAAAGGGACAACTGCGCGAATGGAATCGCAGACCCAAATCCAAGACCGAGGCGTATCGTTGGCGAGGAAGGACCGACGAACATGTCCTCACAAGCGGCCTCGACGACTACCCTCGCGCCAAACCGCCTCATTCGGGTGAGCTTCACGTCGATCTCATGAGCTGGGTCGGCTTCTTTGCCAGGACCATGGGTGAGGTCGCGGAATACCTGGACGAGGCGGACGATTTGAAGGAATATCGAAAGCACGAACGAGGTGTGCTTGCCAACCTGGACGAGTTGCACTGGAGCGAACAAGACAAGGCCTATTGCGACGTCACCGTCGACGAAGATGGTGAGCATTGCGGGCGTCGGTTCGAGTGATGAGCCGCGCTAACATCTAGCTCGCCTCTCTGCAGACGAATCGGTTCATGTCTGCCACAAGGGCTATGTCACCCTGTTCCCCTTCTTCCTGCAGCACATCCTATCCGAATCGCCTCACCTGAAAAATATCCTCGACTTGATGCGCTCGCCGGCACACCTGTGGTCGCCTTATGGTCTCAGATCCTTGTCCATGGCCGATCCCAACTTTGGTGAAGGCGAAAACTATTGGAAGGGTCCCATCTGGATCCAGATGAACTGGTTGGCGCTCAAGGCATTGTCGGACAAGTATACGAAAGAACCGGGACCGCACCAACAGCTCGCCACCGAGATCTACAAGGAGCTTCGTGCGAACGTCGTTGAGAACGTCTTCAAGGTGTGTAAAGTAGTAGGGCGATCCTTCGAGAGCGACATGACGCTGGAGCTAAGTGTCTGCGTTTCCATAGGAGTGGAAACGTACCGGTTATCTATGGGAACAGTATGATGCCAAGAATGGCGAGGGCCGGCGAAGGTGAGTGTCCGATCGCGCCGAGCTTATAGTTTCGCTCCTGCTCGCTGACGGCCGCTGTCTATCGACCAGTCATCCGTTTACGGGGTGGACGGCACTGGTAGTTATGAGTAAGTTGCACATCACCCTCAAAACCTATCTCTGACTGACGCTGACCGTATGCGATGCTGCTAGTCATGACCGAACGCTATTGATTCAGATGACCATAGAGGTAAACCGGCCTTGTATCGATACAAAAGACAGCGCCGTCCAGGTCTGCCTGTTCAGATACATAGATGACGACGATATTATTGACGAACACCCGCTGTCTGTGCAGGCTAGGTAATGTGATTGGATTCTAGCTTCCCATGGGGCCTTGGCGTCCAGGCGCGGTTCAAGTTCCGTCAGGGTTGCCCGTCACGCGACAAGGTTTGGGGTCGAAGTCAATTGACCTGTGAAGGGGTTGGACAAGAATGGCGACACCTGTTCGGTGTTACTTCTCGAAGGACGAGTGTTCTTGGCCTCACTTACCTCGGTGCCCTAGCGAAATTTCCCGAACGCCAAGTCAGGTCCTGAAATCCGAGGTCCGGTACGACGGAGGCGTTCGATGGCGGGACCTTTACCTACCGCTCGGAACGAGAATTTGAGTTCCGGCCGTGCAATATGTTTCGAAACTCGATCTGGACCGCGTCACAATGGAAAAGATGAAGCACGACGGCGCCAGATGAGTACATGTCCGGAAAATGCGCTCAGAAGGCTGACAAAGATTCCTTGCATGTCGACCGGTTATACAAAACGAGGACACTCCCGCAAGCCAAAGGGGACCGATCTAGACAGATCCTACACGAGGCATCGTCGATGCGTCCGAGTTGAACAACGCCCGGTCGCTTCTTCTGCTAATTCTACGACGACATGCTCAGGATCCGAGACATCCACAGTGATCTCGAAGATCACGAGGGAGGTGTGGTCAGACGGAGGGGGCCAAGGAGAGAGACGGATGGTTGACCCGCCCCGGACGATGATATGCTCAGGGCCCGCATCGAGCCCGCATGGAGGTTTGCCTGAAAAGTCCAAGCAACTGTCGTCTAGCGACAGGTATATAGGTCGACTCTGCCGACTGCCATGAGCAACCAGGAAATTTCGCTTTCTGTTCCCTGCTGTTCGCTACTCGACATTCACCCACCGCACCCGGTCTCAATATGCGGTCCACTACCGTCCTCCTCTTTGTCTCCCTGGCCCGGCTCTGTCAGCTCGGCCCGGTGATCGCTGCGCCATATGCCATTCAGCCCATCTTCCAGTCCGACTTCTCGCAAGGCAACATCGAAGACGACTTTGGCCATGTCACGACGCTTTACGTTCCCGCAGCCCCTTTGAACTGGGATGCTACGGATGTCTCTCATCTGCTACCCGTCAAAGATGGTTTCCTTTACTTCACGTTGGACGGTAGTTCCGGTAAGCAGGATTACATCTCGCCCCAACCATGTACGAATGCTCATATATGGACCCGCTGACCTTCCACGCTCGGCTGTGATAGACCCCGCCGCCAAGCACTCCTACATTCTGCTTGAAAACACCTACAACCACCCTACCGTCATTCTCGACCATTCTGTGTACCCTTCGGTCAGGTCATGCCAAGACAACGAATTGGTGATCGAGTTCTCCAGTCCCGCCGCTTTCAAAGTCGCGGCGGAATCGTGGTCTCGAGGTTCGACGCTGGTCACCCACTCGGCCGGCTGTGCCGCCACGAACCAGGCGACCAAACACTCGTACTGGTCCGTTGTGCCCACCAAACCCGACGCAAGATCTCGATCCGTCAAGATGCAAGTCCGAAGCATCGATGTGGACCAGGCGATCGAAGCGACGGACGTCAGTTGGGGTTCCTATTCCCCCGTCTCACAGGGTCATCTTCAGCAGAGAACGATGGGTAGCGACAATGCCACCGTCTCTGGGGTTCTGATAGATGACTTGGATCCGCTCAGGTGACGCGAGTGGTCGGATCCGTCGATCGCTCGGTCGAATCCGTCGAGATATGGGAACGATGCAGAAAAGGATCGAGTCACGCTGGCTGCCCCTTGCTGACATGTGACAGACATAAAAGGCAGCATTGCGTCCCCGCTCGTTTTCGATATGACACCCTTCCCACATGACCTGATCTCTCATTCGCATAGACATCATGTGCAACGATCAGCTAGACTTTGCCATTGACATCTACGGACAACAATCTGCGACTGCTTTCGCCACGCCATTCCTTTTCCTCTTTCCTTGCACCGATGCATCTGTCGCTATCGCGACCAGTATCCAGGATAAGCTTGAGACTGGCTTGAACATTTTGTGTCACCAGTTCCCCTACCTCGCCGGACGGGTCACGCTCAATGCTCGCGGTGACTACGTGATCCGCGCAGCTCAGCGGCCCGCCGTCGTACTTAGAAATCGTTGCAACGATGCCCAGGCTCCGTCGTTAGACGAACTCGTCGCCTCCCGCTGGTGCCAGGCCAAGATGAGCGAATCTCTGTTCTCTCCGGTGTTTGTGCTGGGGGGCAAGAATCCAGAGCCTGAGGACCGAAACGCCGTTTTGACCGTTCAGTTGACGGTTCTCCGCGGTGGGGTTGCGGTGAACGTGGTCGGACACCACCAGGTCATGGATGGGACCGGGCAAGAGAGGGTCACGACGTTGCTTCAAAAGGCCTGCCGTGGTGAACCCTTCACCGAGGAGGAGATTAGGCTCGGACTCATGGATCGGTCGACATCGGTGACTCTCCTCGGCGACACATGGCAACCGTCCGCCGACACGCCCTTTCTTCGCAAGCCGTCGTCACCCTCAGCGGCATTCGCGTCACCGTCAGCTTGGGTCAATATCAGTTTCTCATCGAGATCACTCGTTCAAGTCAAGGCTGAAGCAAGCAAAGACTTGGATCCAGGATGCGCATACGTTTCGACTGACGATGCACTTGTCGCCTTGATCTGGTCATCGCTCGCTCGAGCTCGTTCTCAACGGTTGCCCAGCTCGGAGACAGCAACATCGACCATGGCCCGTTCGGTCGACCCGCGGAGATATGTTGGTTTATCACGCGACTACCCAGGCTACCTACACAATATGGCATTGACTACCGAAACGCTCGCAAGTCTATCCACGACATCACTCGGCAGCATTGCTTCTCATCTTCGCCGAGCCATTGATCCTGCGTCTTGCACGCTGGGCCAGACCACACGCGAACTCGGCACGCTCATCCACCGCGCAGAAAACAGAAACGAGCCCGGCCCAGCGTCCGGTCTCGACCTCGACATCGACATCATGTTTAGCTCGTGGGCCAACATGCGGTGCTACGACTTCGATTTTGGCCTTGGCCTCGGCAAGCCGGCGTTCTTCGGTCGTCCAAGGATGACCGCCAAGGTCCCCAGCTTGATGTTTCTGATGCCCAAGCGAGCTGGTGACGCGAGCTGCACATTGACGGCGTGCCTGAATGAGAAGGACATCGACGCTTTGCGTCAAGATAAGATTTTCTCATTGTATGCTGAATACGTAGGATAAGTCGTCGAGCTTCAAGCTACCCGACCTCGAACGAAATGCGGGATTAATATCGTATGTTGGATTGATTTTCAATTCGCTTTCGGCAAAGACACATTGAGACGCATTATCGTCCAAGCTTGATCGTTTGCGCGTCGATGGCCAGGAGCAGAGACGGGTAGCGACAATGCCACCGTCTCTCACCTTAACGAGTCTGGTATTGCCGATGCTACCACCAAGACCTACGCCGCCGCTTCTCACACCGCGATCACCAGTGCGTACGGCAACACTACGGCTGCTTGGAGCGAGAACGCTGCTACCGCTTTCTCTAGCGGGACCGCTTCTATAAAGAGGCCACCACCGCTTCTTACAGCGAGGTCGTCGCCACCGCTTCGTCCAATCCAGCCGCCACCGCTTACTATAGCACGGCTTCCGTCGATCGACCGTCCGAGTCGTTGAAGACCGCGCCTACCCCGACTTACCAATCGCTGATACCCTTCCCTACCGCTACGTCCATCTCGAGTGACAATTGCCGACAACCTCCTGCCGCCACCATCGATAGCTTCCCCACAGCGCCACTCTGCGAAGATTTCGATGATCGTCTCGACGATACTATCGGGTACCTCGAGTTTGACCAGTACAACGAGGGCTCGTTCGAGGCGACCCTTCAGCAGTTCGCTCCGGGTCTCGCCGACTATTCTTACGAAGACCTGTTCGATCCAGCCGATTCCTATTTCGACACCAAGGTCACCAACATCGCCAAGCGGGCGGCTTCATTCGGTACCTTCCTGTTGAACGTAGCTCAGAAGGTCACGGGCAACAAGGTACCCCAGAGCGCAATCGTCAATCCCCTCTTCGTGGCGAATCCGGGTCAAGCCGTCCAGTTCTTCTCCAAGCTCGCTACCGGCCTGATCGACGAGAATGCGAGAAGCAGCCAGAAGATCCGATGGGACGCCTCGGTTCCCGAGAGCACCAACAGGCTACTTGGCGTCAAAGAGACCCACTGGGGCAAGGGGACCAAGATATTCGACTTGTCCAAAGACCTTAGAGACAGCAAGGGGGTCAAGACATCCGTAGCCTTCTCCGGAACTTGCGTCAACTGCCAGATCATGGCCGACGTCGAAGTCCTCGGTAGCGTCCGGATCGATTTCCGTCAGAACAGGCTGGACGTGGCCCAGTTGAAGATGAGGGCCAATGTCCAATCGAATGTCAGCGTAGCGCTCGAATTGGCACTTGAAGTCGGCACAAAGTTTACCAAAGAGCTCGTAGTCGTCCTTGTCCCCGGCGCTGGAGTCGGTATCGCCGACGTCTTTTCGCTCGGCTTGGCCGCCAACATCTCCGCCGAGCTCGAACTCAAGGCCAAGGTCGAGGGTGGTGTCCTGCTCGGTCTGGCATTACAGATCCCCGACGCTCAATTCGACGTCGACTTTGTCACCAGCGTCGCCAGCTGGCGCAACATCGATCGGATCCAGGTGACCCCCTCCGTCGACCTGTTCGGCAAACTGACCGGATCGATCGACGCCACCCTTCCCATCAACTTTGGTTTCGGATTGAGGATCCCCAAGCTCAAAGTGGACCGATCACTAGCTCTGATCGTTGCGCCCGGAGTAGGGACCGAGTTGAAGTACACGTTCTACCAAAAGGACAAGGACGCGCAAGAGTGTAAAGGTCTAGCGTATGACCTCTATCAAAAGACCAAGATCTCTGCCAACCTGGTCGACATCAAGGAACTCGATCTGTTCGAGTTCAAGCCGCTCAACAAGACGGGCTGCAAGTGAGTCGTGGTTGTGCATGGTCTGGAATCGACTTGGAACTGATGAGACGGCGCTTATTTGTTACAGGGAATTCGGCGCCGGTGATGACAAGGCCGAATCGACCAAGGGCAAGCGGTCCCTCATGCCGAGACAGTCGGGCAACAGTTCGGAAGACGGCGGCGAGTTTGACATCGCGGAGAGTGCCTTTGACGTGTACGACGACGGTGCCGACGCCTTCCAAGTCGAGTACTTCAATATGGACGAATGGGTCGACGCCGCGGACGCTCCCAAGAGCACAACGGAAGACGCCATCGAGCAAGAAGTCATCCTGGTCGCCAAGGTGGGACAGTCCATCGAAGCCGCCGAGGCTTACTACGACGAGTCCTTTGTGGTCGTCACCAGTTACTACGATGGTTCCCAATTCGGCCAAGAGGACGACGGTAATTTCTACCTCTACGAGCCTTCGGATTCCACCGCGAACTTTTACGCTGTCAACGATTCCGTGATCACCTCGACTCCGTTCGAAGAGTTCTTCTTCTTCTATCCGGACGTCATGACCGCTTACGGCGTCTCCCGATTGAGGCATGGGACGATCGACCACCTGCCCGTGACTGCGGACATTATCACGCTCGCCGCCGTCGCGCTCAATGGGACCACGTCGACTTTGGTGCCGGCGACTCCGGATGGCAAGGTCTACTACACCGCCATCTGCAACTACGAAGACGACGCCCTTCCTACCAAGCTGTTTATCGTCGCCGACATCGAAAAGGGACCCGAGCGATTGCAGGCCGACGACTTGCAGTTTACCGTGACCGGGGGCAAGGTCACGTCCTGCGAGTACTGGCCCTTGCTCGCCGAGACGAAGGGGGTTGACTGGTTCTGAAGGAGAGAGCGTGTAAGCGTTCGCGATCCGTTGCATACGAGGAGGTCTGTTCGGAGCCCTATCTGGAATGTCTATAACAGCGTTACGAATGACTTTGTACAAGATGTTTTGGGTTATATCGGGTTGACTATTGTTTCATAATCGTTCATTGCGAGGTGCAAACATGCGAGCCCAATGCTCTCGCCGGTCAATCGTAGAGTCATCAACAGGCCCTGCCATCGAGCGACGCCAGCTACTGCCCCTCCCGCGTCCACCTCTTGCGCAGCGTATGGGCGGCCATCTTCGGCCTCCTGTCCCTGCTAAAGACACCCTTCCTATTCCCGTCGACCCTGAAGATGCCCGGACCCGTGGCAAAATCGGCAAAGTTCCACACCTGCTCGCCGACGCCCGCATCGACCCGATCAAAGACGCGGTGATACATGTCGTAAGAGCTCGACTGAAACTCTTCGGACCAGGGCGAGTTTGTGATCGAGTGTAGACCGGTGACCGTGTCGGCCCCGTACTCCAGCATGACCAAGGGTTTCTGGTACTTCTTCTCCCATCGGACCAACTCGTCCTCCAGCAGCTGCTCAGCCTCGACAAGGCCGCCGGTGACCTCGTACCAACCGTAGTACCGGTTGATCCCGATGTCATCGAACAGCTCGCCGATGGTTTCCTTCTCCGGCGGTACCATGGCCAAGTTGGTATAGGTGAGCGGTGCATCAAGCAGCCGGCGATCGTCATCGATACGTAGCGGGATTATGGAACGGTTCGGAGCGAGTATCATCAACATCATGTAACAAGTTTTCGAAACGGTCCACAATGCTATCTTTTATGGTTGTCTGTTTTTCTTAGTATTGACTGCGTGATCGTCTGTGCCTCTGCCTCTGTATTTTGCCTTTCATGGATAAATCGCTGCAGTTCCCGGCCGAGAATATGCCATGTCCTCTCTCATGCATCCCTGATCAAAATCTAGATTCGAAGCGAATCGAGGCGGGTCCTCTTCGACCGACAGATGGGGTTAAAGATCAACTGGGAGATGCACAGCACACAGTGCTTAGTGCACAGTTTATCAGTGTACAACCTTGGGTGAGGCAGTAGACATTTAATATACGTAGACAGTAAACAGCAGACAGTCACGGTAACAAAAGGAAACTGCACACTGTGAGTCGACTAGCGCGCGACCCCAAGTCTGACTCAACTCCACTTGAATCCTGGTACAGTTTGAATGTGCTTTATGTTGCTGTACGGAGCTTGTGATCTTGTCCTTCATGACAGTGGTCATCACCTTGTGCGTAGCAAGAATACATGCAGGCTCTTAGATACCTCCCTAGCTTGTCTCGCGGCCGTTTCACTTCCTTCTCCCTTGAGCTTGGCGCGAGTTTCAATTCGCTCAAGCGCAAGACTCGGCTTGACAAGCGTACGAGCATCCTATCAGCAGGGCTGCTGGGAAGGTCGAATCACTCTCCCATGAATGTTGCACATACTCGGGTTGCAGTCAGAGCAAGTGCGAAGTTAGTCCTGTGATCATTTCAATCGACGAAATCTTGCTAATGTCGTTCAGTGGCCCATGGAGAGGATAGTCATACGACTTCTTTTCTTGTGATCCGGATTACCAATCACCCGAATCCGCATCCTCAACCGCATGTTGCTGAGCGTAGCAGTGGTTTGACCATTTTGCATCATCATGGCAGCCTGATTCATCGCGATAGCTTGGAAGATGATCATCGATAACACATCGTCGCCGCCCATGGTAGGCACGCTTTGTAGCCATTTCCCGGCCGTATCGAATGGATCCTCATATACAGAGAGAGCATCTCCACGGTTTTATCGGGAACGAGAGCTATTGACTTCAGAGCTTCAGATTTTGCTGAGGGCTGTCGAGACGGGAGGTAATGGTTCCGCAGCCGAGCCGATCAATGACCGCAATTACACAATTTCGTATTTTTGTCTTGATTCTCCTTATGAGTCTGATCAATTCCGGTGCTGCCCCATTATATCGGGAGATGAACCCGATGTCAAAAGCACACCGTTTCGCTGGCAAAATCTGACAACGGGCAATGCCTTTAGCGAGAAATGTGTGTTGCATCTGCCTTAGGCTTTGTGAGCGATTACGATTACGTGCAACAATTTATGAAGCCGAGAGTATATAGAACACCAATTCGGTCGAGGACGGCTGTTGCATGTCTTCATCTCTAGTCGTTTCGTGTCGAGGGTGGAATCACGGATTCATCAAGCGCGTCTTATCCTTGTCTCATGTACCGTTTGCTAGGGCCTTGGACTGCCGCCATGTCCTTGTACCGCAGGTTTGGCTCCAAGTCTCGATCTTCTGCCTGATCGTGTTCCTCCCTGGCCGACGAAGATGAGTAAGCGAGCCGTGAATACAAGAACGTCAGCTACGATGTCAGACTCAACCCGGGAAGTCGCTTGAGTCTCTGAAGAAAGATTCGGCAGGGTGGACCTCAGGCTTACCAAGTACTACTGCTCAATTGACTCTCTTTCACCACAGTATCTCTTCGGCTCCGTTTGATTTGCGTGTTCCTCTCTTCCTCGTTCCCGCGCGACAATCGTTCCCGTAAATAAGGGCTATAGTGCACGCAGCACGTTAGGGAGATCGTGAAGGTCAAGAGGATCTGAAAGGCCAAAAAGAGACTCGGTCAGCAGATCGAAATGATTGACGTCATGATGACCGATAGAGGGTCTCGGAATGTTCCATCCCTTACCGCCGCGGTCAAGCTCAACCATATCCCGCTCCCAAGAATCCCCTTGAAACCGTCCATATCGTCTAACCGGTTCTTGGCGATCGAGAAAGAGATGATTGCCAGGATGAAGGCGAGCTGACATTAAAAATAGAGAAGAAAGCCGTCAGTCTTACCGAAGCTCCTCGAGTATCGCTGGATTTCGATATTTCACTGACCCAGACGATCTGGATGTAGTTCCGATGACATGAAGAGTTCGGAAAGATCGCGAGATGCGAATGACGGCAATCAGCGCTGGTAATCCCCAGAGCCAAAGACAGAACAAGAGATCTCGGACCAAGAGACCTGACTCACAATCGCGGCAAACCAAGACATGACCAAAGCGATGGTCGCCAAGACCCCGTTCTGTCTCCACCAACCGACCATCAAGAATAAGGGAGTTGCCCCTGTAAACCCGGTACCTATCAAACGACAATTGTCGAAAACATGCCGCACGTCAGAACAGGGAACATAGGCCAGGTCACAGAGAGTTACGTGGGAATACGAGGAAAGGAGGAAGGATGGCGATCAGACCTATGTATCGCTTACCGATCGGGAAGAGCACCAATGTGTACGTCAAAGGCTTTATGATGGCGTTCGATAGACCGGAGATATCCAGGGGATCTCCCATCTGTTCCAAAGCCTGTTGAGTGACCGACTGTGATTCCAGACCAGGTATCAACGAAGAGACGTTGAGCCATGATGAGACGATCGAAGTAGGTATGAAGGAAGCCAACGAAGATGGGATCGTCAACGAAGGTACGATCGAAGAGGGACTAGTTGGGGACGGGGTGGTTGTCGTAGCGACGATCGACGAAAGATTGAGTAGAGAGATTTTGTATCCGAGTTTCGGATCATCGCATTGTTTCCGACTGAGAACCGTCGATCTTAGTCCCAACGCTTCGAGAGTCCCATTTGGCGCTATGGTGATGTTGGAAGAGCAAAACCCCAAGATACCCGCTCGGAGTTCGCCTGTCAGGCCTAGACCCGATATGACCCTGTGTCCCGATTGGCGACAAAATTCGCTTGTGTCAGTCAATCTAGTATTCGCTGGGGAAAGCCTCAAGAGCAGGATCAAACGCTCACTCGGCGTCGATTTCGATCTTGAAGAGGTAAATGCTGTTGATGATCGGTACCGAAAGGGTGACGAGCAGGAGTAGCAAAAACGATGCCGCTGCTCGTAAGGGGGAAAGAGGCAGTGAGCTCAATTCTCCTGACTTCGGTAGAAATCTATATCATTCACCCGTCATGAAGATAGCGGGCAAGGTGATGACGGTCTTCATACTAAAGACTGGCTGCAAGAAAATGCTGTTGTGAGCGAAGGGAGTTGCTGCAAATGGGGAAGTGGCGCGGATTTTATATCATTGCGATTATTATCCGGTACTCTAAATGTTCAACGAAATCGCAGGCAGACAACCTGATCATTAGGCTGCCAGTGCCCACCTTTCATCCTTCAAGGAGCTGGTCATCTCTCGGTGATCGTGGCGCATCTACGGTACATCTGCACTGCATCTCGGAGGATTCATGATTAGGATCGATGAAACGCGCGCGCGCTAAATACAGTAAGAGGAGAGGAAATGAATTTACAATCGGTCATTAGTCGTTTACCCTCCGAGGCCGACGAGACATCGGCTAGCAGACGGCTCCCTCGTAGACTCTCGGCCACGTAAGTGCTGACAAGATGCCGAAACCGCTGTGCTGATTGGGCTTTTGGGGGTGGGACCGAAGAGAGCAAACCGAGACGTTTCAGATATGGCCCTCTTCGCCGCCCACCGCCCTGTCCGCACGCAGACCTCGCACGACGCTTGTACACACGTGATGGAGATGGCGCGGAGGGTCAGATTTCGCCTGCCACCGAAATGGCATACGCATTGGGATGGGCAGCCCTTCGTCGTACGCTGTAACTTTGGCTCTAGAATCCTAACGCCCCAGTCTTGGCTCACAGTCTCGGTGGCTGTCCGATAAAATTCAAAGCGGAACTGACCTTCGCAAGAAATGGCGCGTGTGTGCGAATTGTACCGGGACAGGTATGATCCGCATACAAAGCTGATGGTGCAAGATGCAGGTCATAGCTCCACGAATAACGGTCTCCGAACTAGCTGTACTGCCCAGTTCCGTGGCAAAAACACGAGGGTGAAAAGGGGACAGCTGTTGGAATGCAGCAAGAACCAAGCGGTTGACTGTGAAGGCGCTCATCACATGATCTGGAGATGGCGTCACATCTTATCATTCGAGTGCATCCGAGAAGAGTACAAAGGGGAAAAGATGAGCTCTCGCTATTTCCCGAACGCTTTAGGCCATCTGACCGGTCGTAACTAGGAGTGAGGGATGAATATGGTATGTTTCACGATGATTTGCCGAGATCAGATCGCTGTAAGCTGGAAGTAGTCAAGTAGAAGCGTCTCAGATAGCTGACAGATATTGTCGACTGCTGATACGTATGAATGATCTGGATGTGCATTGCGAGAGGGGTTCATCGTCTCCTCGAGCACGATAGACCCGTAGGCCTGAAAAGAGGAGAACAACACGAATTCGATTTGTCTCGCCCTGACCTGATCTACTCCTATACACGACTCGATACAATGTCCGGCTGCCCTTTCTTGTCGTACACCCCTACAACTCTTCAATGATGTGACCATCCGCCGCCACCGCGACCTTGTCAGCCTTGAGGGAAGCCTTGACGGGGTTCTTCTGGTTGTAAACCCATTCGAGCTGCTCCAGGGTTCTGCCTTGGGATTCGACTCCGAAGAAGTACCAAGCGGCGGTCTCCACACAGTCCCACCCGACAAAGATGTAGGTGTACTTGTAGCCGATGTTTCCGAGAGCGATCGGTCCGGCGAATTGATTGATGAAGCCGACAGCTGTTGGCGAGGTTTGTACGGATCGAGATAGCTCAGCCCTTGTCCTATACCAAGCACTGATATTATAGGCGGTTGACTTACCGCTGACAAGCACACCCGAGAGCGCGAGACCTTTAGCTCGCATGGTAGTCTCCAAAGCCTCGGCCGGGATAACACCCTGGAGCGGGGTGTAGGTGAAACTGAAGATGATGTTGAAGAAATAGTACCTATCTCAACCCAACGGATTAGCGCTTGTCCTTCTCCCTCATCGAGCTTAGATAGACTAGGTAAACTACTTACGCGGCCAGCGCCCCTTGACTCAACTTGACGTTGGTTGTATCCTTGGCAAGAGCAGCCGATAGACCGGCATTGATGGCCAGAAAGACGGCACAGGCTGATCGTAGCATTGACATGTCAGCGTGTCGTCATCGTTGATCTTCATCGAAATGAGCCTCACCGAAAGTTCCCGGGACGAGGACCTTGCGTCGTGGCATCCTGTCCGTCAAGAATGCCGCGGTGACGGCACCGATAGCCGAGCAGACACTGTTAGCCAGGTTCAAAGCTAGCTGAGTAGCTACTTTCGTGTAGCCCAGGTTATTGTAGATGACGGTCTGCGGTGCGAAGGATTGTTAGCATCCTTTTTCTGAATGCCCCATGGCCAGGAGAATTTACGTTGAAAGAACCTGTATCGCAAGTGAGAATCGATGAGCCGCAGCACAACCAGGACAAAGCTCGATCAAGGCTGACTCACCCAAACCGTTCCCGCTGAATTGACCAAAGATCGAGATCATCAAGACTTGCGCCATCCTCCACCTTCCGTTGTGGCTCAAGAAGAGTGGTCGGTCTGATGGCGTCGCCGTCGGCGGAGAGAGGTTTTCAGGTGAGCCCGTGAGCGAGCGGTTCCTCACGCAATTTTTTCGCAACTCACAGTCCCACCAGACCTTATCGATACCATCCTGTCGGATTCCTTCCATCATCTCTTCCAGCTCGAGCTTGACCAAAGCCGACTGAGGGTTGTTGTTCCCGTCTGCAGCAAGCGATTTCGCATCAGCGGCAAGAACGAGACGAGGTGAAAACACTACCAAGCGACTCACGATACTTGACCAAGAACGCATGAGCCTCTTCAGTCCTGCCCTGACTCATCAACCATCTAGGCGAGTCCGGGATGAAGAAGACGAAGATTATGACAAAGATCGCCGCGAAACACTGGAAGATCAAGGGGAGTTGCCAGGCGAGGTTGCTCTGAATGTAGCTCGTGCCGAAAGTGATCGCGGCCGCTGGGATGGCACCTCCAAAGTAGCCTACACGATTCGATGTCGCAGATCAGCAATGAATACCATTTCCCTTCGTTGCTGGATTCGAGAGATCGTCGACTTACCACAGTTGTAGATACCCGTCATCTTCCCTCGCATGTGCGGGGGAGACACCTCGATACAATACGCCGGGGCCGACACGGTACAGATCTGAACTCCTGCTCCGAGAATCAACCTGGCCACGACGATCTGCCATCCGCGACAAACCAAAGCGAGATGGGCTATCAGCCTTCAATACGCCCGTAGCCTAAGAACAGTAACGTATGACGGACCTGAGCAATATGTTTAGACGTGGTCGCAATGACAGCTCCGATGATGATCACGGCAGCGCCTGCAAACATCCCTTTCCTCCTGCCGAAGCGGTCCGAGATGATAGCAGCAAAGGGTGCGGCGACCATAGATCCTCTATTTGTCGTCATTTGTCGGGTACGCATTTTGATTTTGTCCGGTTGCCAAAGGACGTTCGAAAGCGAGCACATCGATACGTTCCGAGGAAGGAAGAGAGCAAGAAATAGAAAGAAACAGTTTCAGTCCAACAACTTGGAAGCAGAACCAGGGTCCCAACGTGACTCACACGGTGTACATCGAAAAGATGACCGAGACCGTCGACCCAGTAGTTCCCGAATGGAAGACGTTCTGAAACTGTTCCATCTGTCATAATAGCATACATAGCGCCACCAGTAAGATTCCCATTCACGTTTTCGAGATCGGCTCGGGAGTCAGGTTGAGTATCTCTTGAAGTGTCGATCGGAAGCTCGGACCGAAGGGATACGACGACGGCGACGCGGACGACAATGATGGTAACAAGGAAGGTGGTGATGAGAATGAGGATAATGATGGTACGCACAGCGATCAGACCCGTCATCAAACTCCCATCGTATCCATTCGCGATCGCGCATAAGAAGGTGGTGAAACACATGACTATCCACCATCACGTATGATACCAGCAAGACTGATCAGCTCTTCGTAATGGGCTCGCTCATGACCGAGCATGCGGAGGTTAGAGCGACGGTCCGGCAGGAAGAAGAGGACGGAGAAGGTATATCAAGGCCCCGGGAGAGATATTGTAGGGAGAGAGAAGCGACTCACGGTAGAGATGCAAAGACTCCCTGCTAAACTTGGGGATCGTCTCTTCGCTGAGCGCTTTAGCTAGTGCGGCCTATTGTACACCGACCAACGTCCACCAAAAAAGAAAGCCTACACGGTCAGTGAGGATCTCAGTCGAATTTCCGCTCTACTATAGGTCATCCCGTGCATTCAGGCGATCACAATCTCCTCCCCCTCGAAACCTCTAAACCTCTAAACCTCGAAACCTCGGAACCTCAAAACCTCGCACTCTCGAAACCTCGGACTCGGCTACGTACATTAGCGACCTCCTTGACCTTGCCCTCCCCATGATAATTCTTATACGCCTCATTATCGGTGTTGTTCTGGTGAAGTTGCAATTGAGGCGCGGCGGACTCTAGGTGTTCGGCCTCGTCCGTCTTGGAATTGGATAGGTGGTAGTCTTTCTCCATCGTGTTGTATGAGCGAGATGGTGTGGCGGAGAGATCGGAATACTACCGTAATGATAATATTGCAGCTGCAGCGAAAGCGTAGATGTCTCTATCTGGGTCTTCATCTCAGCGTCAATGGATGTGTGGTAAGAGAAGATCTGCTCGTCGCTCTATATATCTCCTCTCGAATATCTGAAAGTCCGATCCTCATCCCAGAAATCGAACCCGTGATCACGATGCGGTAGTGCAGTGTATGCTACGGTGTAACTGTCCGGCGATTCTTCGCTGATACCTTGCACTTCACATGTCGCATGTCGTCGTCGTCCATCGAAAGAGGCTTTCGGGATCACCTGCGCTCTCTGGCCACGTGAATCGCCACATCACATGCATCTAGGTGGCCCCACGGTGACCCAAAATTAGCTTCCCCCGCGCGCTCGGAGAATTGGATCACGCTCACGCCCCCCGGGAATGGGTCGGTGCCCAAATCGTGATCATGATCATGAGCCGTTCAGCTGATTCTCGGGCGGATTAACCTTGAGAGGTGTCGAATCGATGCTGTCTTGGGCGATACGAGGTCGTCGAAGGATGAGGTACGTTGTGATGAAACGAACTTTTCAGTTTTCGGTGATGGAAGCGCAGATCAGGTACGACGTTGCCGCTTCGGATGCAATTTCCAAGCGGATTACGTATGATATTTGCTTCCGAAGCCGCTTCGCGCATTGAAGCGCAACCGGTGCGGGGCATGCGGGCGCAGATCAACCCCAAACTTTTGATCCATGAAGCACGTCCTGTCCCCATTGATGATGACCCATTAGGTCCGGATACCAACGTTGTGCCTCAAGCGGACGGTGAGTACTATGTATACCGACATTTCCCTTGTCTCGTCGTTCCAGCTGAGGTCTCCATCTTCGACGCGCTTACGAGATATCGAGCGTCAGCTTTCAAACCGGATAATCCGCAGCGCAACGGCACACCGAGGTCGTGATCGACTGGCCCGGCGCCGTCCATCGACCAGCACGGGACAAAGTCTAGGAATCTACCGTCATTAGTTACTTGTGTTGTGAGGCGGTCGCTTCAGGAAGGCAAGCACGACGCGGACCATCATATCGACGGGTTCGGACGGGATGTTTAAACGATCTATAATCATTTAAACCTTTCACCACGCGATTGATCTGTTCCTCGAGCCATGACTACAGTACAGTGGCATGTCTTAGAGGCACCAGGCGAGGGCTCTCTCTGGCATCCGTAGTTCGTCAATTTGGCCTACCCAGAGAATGAGAGAATCCTGATCCGCATGAGCAGGGTAGAAGGGATGCTTGATATTTGGTAGGTTTCTCCCGGAAAGCATGAAAGCGTTTGTCAATTTTCGAATGTCATCGATCCGATACGTCGTATGATGAATCCCTGGGACTTACTGTAAACTAGTCTACCTAGGAGAAGCTCGTTCCGATGTATCAGAAGGTCCCTCTCGTTGACCCTGCATGTGATCGGATGCCCCGTTCGTTATATCGAGTCGAGTCGAGCCGTACAGTCACATTCTGTTTCTGCTTATAAGCTACTCTTTCTTTTCTTAACCCGTTCCAACCCTGAACCGGACCATGGTTCGCAAGTCTACGGCCTGATCCAACTTTAATATCGATCACCCATAATTCAACTAACTATATCCAATCGACCTGACCGTCGCCCAACCTTAGCTGGTCTGGAAAGATCGGTCAGAGCCTCTACTTGCCCACATGCGTAACCAGAATTGGAGTTTCTGTCATCGATTCGTTTCGTGTCGTGACGGACGATACTTGTTCTCCTACCATAACCGAGAAAACGAGAATGAGAGGTCTGGACGCGGATGACGACGAAGGAAATATCGTATACGTCGCGGTAAAAGTCACATGGGACATCCAAGCAAACGAATCCTTCCTATCTCCAGCAAAAGCTGAGTACCGTACCGCAATATCCTGTGTGTTGAAATTCCTATCATTCCACTACGTGTTTCCGATCAATCGTACTCCAGTCCTTACCAATGAAGTCCCGGTCGGATTCACGGTCGTGAGCTAGAATGAAAGTTTGAGTAGGGTAGATCAGACGAACAGAAGAGAAGCGGGACTCGATATCGCCCTTCAACCCCGGTGAAGAACTCGGACTGACATCGGGTCACAAGATATACCGTACTATCTCCCACTCTACTACGCCATAGAACACTGGACTGTACGATGCGGAGCTGTCCACAAGCTGATTCAATTAGCCCTGCTTAGCCAGTGTGTTTGTTGGCATCAAGTTGGGGCAAACAATCGAAGCGACGGGCTTGTTATAAGTGCGGCTTGAAGGTCAGAATAAAGTCGAGGTTGGAAGGGAAAAACCTGTAGACTGAGTACTCAATCTTCCGTCTATATCATTCGGGCCAGACAGCAAGAAGGAACGACGCAAGCTTTGCGGTATTGAAGTCATATATCATATCGTACGGGTTACTTGTCATATCGTCTTCCAGTCCGAAAGCAACATCATTTCCTATCGAGACATCATTCTGTGACACAAATGTCCATCACGATCCCGATCACCTGAGATCTCAAGCCGGGCGTCCGATCTCGATGTAAAGGTCCTTAGGGGTTATCAGACACCCACAAAAAGAGACAGGAAAGAGGTAGGGGGTGATGGAGGCGGGGATCAGAGCGCCAACGGACCGGACCAATCGAAAGCGCCCGCGACGCCCGATGTCTGCTGAGACAACCCCTTCAACGTGTCCCAATTCTCGCCTCCAACCTGGATCTCGTAGTCTTCTCCCTCATGGGGGTCCGGGTTGGTGATCAACTCCCAGTAGAGCCAAGGGACGCCGTACTTGTTCATCTTCTTGACGTTATCTTGCATATTGGCGACTTGACCGGATCCGTAGAGGCTTCCCCACTCCTCGACGATCAACCGCTTACCGGCGTTTCGGGCGGCGGTGAGAGCGTTGGGAAGGTAGCTGTCGTAGGCGCTGCGAGGAACTGGCGAGTCAGACTAGCAACGTGGACACGTCGCTCGGACCGCTCACTCGGTATAGTCATGGATCGCCACCACGTCGACAGGGCAGTTGGCTTGGAAGAACCGAGCTACAACCAGTCGAAAGTATGTCCCGAACAGTTTTAGCACGATCGGTGGCAACTCGCAACTATCACACCGATCCCTTTCCTCTTTTTCGTGCTTACATTGAACCGATACCGCAGCGGAATGACCTCCCGTCTGACCGATCATATATAAAGCAGGCCAACGGGTATATCACACCAGTACCACGCTTTTAAGAGGGTCAAACAGGCCCGGACTCACAAAGACCAGCTGGTTCTTGTCTCCGACCTGCAAGATATCATGGTTTTCATGAACCGTCTGCTTACGGATCACGGTGACGCTCAATCCGATATGAGAATTGACTCACGTTATTCCTGATCTGCTGAGCGGTGTTACATACCCAGTCTAAGTGACTCGTGTAAAAGGAAGCACCTTGGTTGATCATGGGTCTGCGGGAAGAAATATCGTTCGAATCGCATCGGCGACCGTAGCGGGGAACACAAGTAGCAGCGGCTCACTCGTTGAGAACCTGTTCGTGTGACGCGAACCGAATCAGAACGCATGTACACTAACAACTGAGCATAAGGAAACATGTAAGGCCTGGACTTACATCGTAACCGATGATGTACTGCGATAACTGGCTCCATGGCTTGTTGCCTAGTTTGGCGTTCTTGTGACCGTTTAAAATGTACGAGATACGCTAACCGAAAGTTCTCATGTGAGCGAGATAATCGAGAACACCATCGGCCTTCTATAAAGCACTCTTACATCATTGTAATGAGAGATGGCTTGACTGTTTGTGTAAAAGCCTTGCTCGCCGTACGTGCTAGCGTCTGAATCTCAGGGATGTAATCAGTGGCACTGGAAATAGGTGCTGCCCTGAGGACGAAGCCAGTCATACTCACAAGGGACCCTTCCGGCCTGCAAGACGTTCTCTGCGAGTAAAAAGTAAAGTGGGTAAGTAACATGCAGTAAGCAATGCAATGCCCTACTCACTGTCGTAAAGAGAGATCAAGAGCTTGATGTTCCACGCGTGAGCCTCGACCTAGAAATACAAACGCCACCGCCTTTTAGCACATGATCCCGACTAAAGCCATACTGTATGCGCGTGACAGGTCTGGCCTCTCACCATCAGCTGGTCGATCGCATTCAGAATGGTATCGTCCCATTGCGCGAACCCTTTGGCTTCGAGATCGGGAATCGCGACGTTCGTGGAACCCTTCTGTCCTGCAGTGACGCCGTTCACGAAGATGCGAAGGACCTGTACGGCAAGCAACGTGGTCTTGTGAGGATCCAGATACGAAGGCTGGCTGGTTCAGGGTGATCAATTCGACTGACTTTCATGTTGGCAGCGTTCATCTGCTGCAACAGTGTGTATCTTTCGTTGGAAGGTAAAGCGTATCTATGCGGCATAGTGAAATGGTAACCGTCGTCAGGAGCGCGACAACAGAAAAGGCAAAAACACGTCCCTGCCTGGGTTGAGACTGACGCATAATAATTGTTCGTACCCGAGAAGCTGGAACTGGCTCGTTCGGCGAGTACAGGAGACGCTTGGGTGACAGTAGCCAAACCTGCTAAGGCAGCAAGGACGATCGCAGCGTAACGCATTGAGGTGATGTAATAAAGTGTGCGTAACCGGGAGAACTGTTCAGGCGATGAGAGGATCTTGGAGAGCGATGTCGAATGTATGAGATTGAATCACCCTAGGTTGTATCATCATTGCTGCTGGTATATTTCTATGTATATATATGCGATTGTACGAGCTTGCAATTCTCAACATTTGACACTGCCCGAGCCTTTTCAAAGCTATTTGCCGCACCAGTCTGGTGCCGTTACTTCGGCGATTCTCCATCTCCTGCTACCCTAGCATTGTTTGAAATAACATGCAGATGCAATGTACCTCTTCATGACGCGTTATTCACCTCCAGATAACCTTAGTAGGCAGGGATCCTTCAGGTCGATGAGGTTGCAAGTATTGTGGGTCATCGGAAGCGCGATTAGCGCGCGCCAGTCTTGCGACCACGAGCGGTAGTAGATTGAATCCTTGCGCTAGACCCCCGGTAACCATACGTTTACCGGGACTGGGGCAAGGTGGTGGTTTCCCCGAGCATGTCAGGGCCAACTCGGTCAGCTGATGCATGCGACTTGCTGCCGACGGCATGATTGGCCGTTGCCGCTTCTCCCAGCGTGACATCCCCGCATGGTGATTGTCAGACCATCTGCAGTAGCTCTAGGTTGGTTCCGTCTGATTACACCGACGTATTAGCGGAAATCGTGGTTCAGTCACGCCAGTCGTCGTTGATGGAATGACATTCTCTGATATCCGCTTAGGTGAATGGAGATAACTTTGGGCAGGTTCAGCCCCGGATCTCGCTCGGTGAAACGTGATTACAGCAAAGCGACTTGCGCATCGACATTGGCACGACCTTGACATCGGATCCGAGGCGTCTGCTATATAAGTTTGTCGGGATCGAGGGTATCCTCTGAAGGGAAAGGGAAAGTAGTTCTACTCCGTGCCCACCAGCAAATCATAATACCAAAGACTCTTATCTATGCGGTCGATCACGCTTTTAACCCTGTCCCTGCTCTCTCTTGCGCTTACCGTTTCAGCGGCTCCGGCTCATCAGAAACGATGGGGCGCATCCTCCCTTCCATCGACAGGCTCGACGACGCTCAAGCCCAAGACGACTAGTAGCGGCTTCCTCACTGCCAAGGCTGGCAAACTTTACGTAGGCGACGAGCTTTGGACTTTTGCCACGTTCAACAGCCCTCATTTGCTTACTAGCGACGAATTCGAGGTCAGTCAAATCTGAGTCCAGGACCTGACCGAGCCGCAGCGGACTAATCGAATTTTTGCCCTCGCTACATGCCATACATCTGCTATCCATACCACCAGGTCGTGGATACGTTTGCCACCTTATCCGCCTTCGGTCAACCTGTAACCCGAACTTACACTCTAGGTGTCTCTTCCATCAACATCCCCGATGAGGATGCTCACATCAACGGGTGGAACGAGACGGCTGGAGATTGGATCTACAACGAGGCCAAATTCCAGCAGATGGATATGGTCATGGATGTCGCCAGACAGTACGTCGCCAGTTGATGTAGAAACTTGTGATATATCCGGGGTGCTGATCCCGAGGTGGCGATTCCGATCCCTGCGATAGATGGGGAGCGAAAGTGATTATCCCGGTTATCAACCAAGACTACGGATCGCCTGGTACGTAACTTCCTTCATCAGTGGATGTTTAACACCTATTCATGCTCTATCGTATCTCTCGCTGCCCCAGACTCAAATTACAACGGCGACTGGTCCGACCTCATTCGGTTTCGGTACGGCCTCGACTCTTACAACGCCACCAAGTCCATCGATTTCTGGACCGACCCTACCATGATCGAGGGCTACAAGCTCATCTTGAACAAGTTCTTGAGGAGGACGAACACGATCAATGGAAGGGTCTATGGGAGCGATGATACGCTAGGTATGATCGAGAGCGGGAACGAGATGAAGTGAGTATCGATTCGCAGCACGAGATGATGACCAGGCGATAGTTTGAGGTACTGAGAGCTCGCGGATTTGGGATCGCAGCTACAACATGACGAAAGGAGCGGATACCACTCGACCTCCTCCTGGATCCGTGAGTGCCCGCTCCTTTCGATTCCTGCACGATACCCAGATTAAGTCTTCGAATCATCTTGTAGTGGACGGTCATGGCTGCGGAGCATTCCAAATCGCTCGCCCCGAACATCCTCTTCTTGGACGGTTCTCTCGCTCGAAACAACTTTACCGAGCAGAGTTTCGCCCCAGAGGCTCTTGCTAGCCCTGCCGTGGACATCTTTTCTTGTCAGTCCATAACCCATCCCAGTCATTGTCACGTTATCTCAAGGATCTCATGCCGAATTTCTCTCTGATACAGCCCATTACTACCGCAATAACCCCGTCGCTTACGATTACAGAAGGATCACGAACGATTCGACCTACATCACGGATCACGGCAAGACCTTTATCGTCGGTGAACACGGATTTTACAACGAGACGTCTCAATGGGACGACTTTTACAGGTTGCTGGTAAGCTTACCCCCTTGTATCTTGATGCACCACACATATGTGCTGAATCCCATGACCGTTCTGTAGGAATCGACCCCGACGGCAGGAGCCATGTTCTGGGGTCTACGACCTCATTCGTCCGCCAGCGGCTTCCTCGTTCACGGTGAAGGGGATGGTATCTACTCTTACCACGCGCCAGGATGGAGTCCTGCTCCTGCTCCTCAGTTCGATCCGCTGGAATTGCCTGTGATCCGAAAGACTTATAATGCCAGGTGAGCCAATGCAGAGAGCTCGTGACAGAGCCACGTTAGCTGAACGTACCTCTCCTGTGACGTGTTCCATGTTCTTCCAGCTTTGCCGTTGTTGACCAGGACGTACCGAGGTACTACCCCGTTCCATCGGCCCCCATGCTAAACATCACCGATACGTCGAACGGTACGACCATCTCTCTCCTTGGCGCTCCGTGGGCAAACTACTATACCGTCTGGTCTACCGTCAACGGCAACGGCTGGGAAGAATACATCAGCATCTTCTACGACAATGTCCAGCCTGGGGATGCCAACTTTACCTTGCCCGCGGGACAAGCTGGAGACTACGCCGCCAAGGGAGTCAGCGTGGACCTGAAGGAAGGGCCTTGGAGTAACGTGATTACTATCTAGTAAAATTGGGGATCAGATTGAATTGGTGAGAGAACAGGTCAGTCGTGCCTGCAAGCTGCTCTTGCTGTAGTGACTGTTAAAAATTAGTAACTTGATTGTATTCAATTACTGCTCTCGTGTTTCCTCCGACGAGGGTTCCTATGTGAGAATGGCCTTTGGTGATTTTTTGGGTCTGATGTCAGTGTCATAATGATACATCAAGGATCTTGTGAGCTTGAATCAGCCTCTCTCGTCTAGTCTGGTAACCGCACCGCAGTCCCACTGGGCAAAAGTGTTCAAGAAGCGCGGCCACGAATGAGACGACCACTTGGGCGATCTCTGACCAGAGCAAACTTTGAGAAGGCTTGAGAGGAAATGACTACAACAAAAAAGCTGCTGTGGCACCGTCAATGACGAATGAACCGACCCATTGCGATTCGACAATGAACCTAAATGACCAATAGTTGTACACATAGAGGACAGTTTGCTTGACGATACAATTCGATATTTCGATAACATTCCCTCATCAAGCCGCCCCGATCACACCCTTCTTTTCGAGGATCTTGACGGCATCAGCCAGTCCTTCTCGTATATCATAATCCCAGATCCAGTCTGTGCGAGTCAACATCTCCTTGGCGATCGCGCTGGTATCCTGTCCCCACTTGTCGGTCGCCCAGTCAAACATCTACATGCGCGCGGATGGGAGCGATATCAGTACGTCTATCCCGACTATATATACTCCCTCGAGGGATTCGATCTCACCTCTCCCGTCTCGCAGGCATGCAATAGCTGTTTGTATGACCGCGGCCTGCGGACCTCTTCATAAGCATCCAGGAAGGCTTCAACATTCTCCGTATTACATTCCGGTCGAGCGAGCAGACCGGCCAAGACGTAGGCGTCCTCGATGGCCATGGACGCGCCCGAGCCGTTGTGTGGCAACGACCCGTGGGCCTACATGACGGAGTACATTTTCTATCGGTATCAGCGACTATGTCACTTGAGAAAGCGCAAAGACCTACCGAGTCCCCAAGAAGCGTAATCCGACCTTTCCGCCAAGTGTTTGGTGATAACACTTCGTGCATCGCCCACTGAATCCGCTGGCTCTCGGGTACGAGCTGCGAGGAACAGAAAGCAACATAAACACTCGGGTGAAACTAAGAACCTCCATTATGAAAGGACAATCTAGCAGGCTCACCTTGAGGAGCTTAACGTAATGTTCATCCCACCCTTCGAAATCCTTCAAGATCGTCTCATGATCGACCTTTTTCAACCAAGGTCCTTGCCATTCTCGTTGATCCTTCGGTTTCGATCGATCGGAAACGAAAGCTACCACGTTGAGGATCTATTCCACCGATTGGGAATCGCCAACTATCAGTCAGCGATTCTTGAAGAAACATGAAAAACTGAAACGCGAATATGAAGCGTTACAAGAACGTACCGAATGCTGCTCGATCGGGAAGATCGTAAAATGCCTTCCAGGCCCAAAAGCCATCCTCGGCCTATGCAAAGTATTCCCCACCTCCTCCGAATTCGGCGGGTCGACCTTCAACGCCTGATCCATCGGTATGAGAGCTCGATAACAATAAGTCCCCGTGTACCGGAAAGAACTCGGTTTGCCGGCCTTGTCACCGGCTTCTTCCGGAGCGGGTAGTTCGAGCAAGGTACGGGTGAGGGATTTGACGCCGTCTGCTCCGACGACGACGTCCGCTTCGAAGTATTCCTCTTTGGGCGTGGGTGTGTTTGTTGGGGTCGAACCGTTGGCGATATGTGCCCCACCATCAACGCTCGGAGGATCAGCCTTAGGAACCCCCCTGGCGGTAAAGTGTACGCGGGCCTTCTTGCTATCAGGTAAGTTGGACACACCGAGGATCTGGATACCTAGATGAATGGTCACTGTCTCTGGTAGGGAGTCGTGTAGGCATTCCAATAATCTAGCTCGATGGACGGCAGAGCGGGGGTATTTCGTGTAAGTCTGCCCGGGTGGATCAGAACGTTTCAGAAGATCAAAATCGGTGTCACCGGCTAGAGAGAAGGAAGAAAGAGAACGTTGGATCGGGAGACTCTCTACTGACCTCGCCGTGCTTGACATCCTTGATCCCATCCCACCATTCGAAAAACAATCCGCCAGCCTTGTCGACCTCTGCGACCGAATCGTAAGCCTCTCCTAAACCCATGAAACCCAGAGTCCGAACGGTATTCGGTCCGAGACTACCATCAAACCGACTCTTGCCTATCAGCTACAGCCGTACACACAGCTTTCTTCGAGCCGGACTGACTTGAGACCCGCTCCGACCTCTCCGAACGCAGGTGCTTGTTCAAAGATGTCGACCTTCAAGCCCGCGCGTCCCATAGCGCAAGCCGCGGCCAGCCCGCCCATCCCGCCACCGATGATGGCGACGGACAGAGGAGCCTTCGTGCTGTTCATGATAATTGTCGTAGATGTGCTTGCGGAAATGCTACTCCAGCAGGTTCGCTGCAGCAAGAGGTCATCCTGCCATACCCAACGATCCCTGATATACGATCGTCTTGTGTGTGGCGTTCGTTCATTGCCGAGATCAAGTTCCGTCGAAAGTGGACGGGGACCCCACCCTCTCCCTCGGCGATGCCACCTGCTTGAGCACAACCGGCTGCATCCAGAGCTCGTCCCCACACACCCTTCGGCAACCCGTCTCCCTCTTCCACCCTTGGGGCTGGTCCACAACAAACATCGGCGGCCACATGACGGATGCATAGATCTGGATCATACAGCGCATAGGCGTGACGGCCACAATAATACAACCCCGACCGCGATACCTAAATCCACCTCCCTACGAGTACTACTGTGCGATTTCTACTTCTCCTCCTGGATCTTATTGATCAGAGTGCCCACGCCATGCGAGACGTAAACGCTAAACTCGTCCCCATCTTGCAAGAGGTTCTTCGGTGTCGACGACCATCCGACGCCCGCAGGGGTACTGAATCATCGCATCGCACGGTGACGGGTAAGAATATGATGTTGAGGGAAAACAAAAAGAACAGGCCATGTCGTGTCGTGTCGTGTCGTGTCGTGTTTTGTGATCAGCTTGGTGCTTGGTCGGATTTATATTTCGATTGCAAAGGCGATGAAATTGATGCGTATCACGCTCACCCTGTCAAGATGATCGTCCCCGGCCTCAGGGTCGTCCCTTGAGACAGGAAAGCCACGATCTTGGGTACAGAGAAGATCAGGTCGCTACAAAGAACGCCGTCGAAAACCGTATCAACCACCAGAGACCATCGAATCATGGGTCAGCGCACTTCACCTCCAAACCGAGCGAAAACTCGACGACGTAGAAAAGGTAGAGACAATGTGAGGGGGGGAGAGGGACTCACTCGAGCGTACTATCCTGACAAACAACCCCATTCCTAGCTCCCCTAATTGTCACCTCCTTCAAATTCAACCCCCCCTTTTTCCCCACTGCGTCCCCCATCCCTCCTACGGCCTCCTTAGGGATGAACGCCGGCCCAATCGGACAAGCCCCATCGAACCCCTTACTGAACCCCCACTGACTCGTCTCGAACTGCCGTTTCCTGCTGCTCAGATCGTTGGCCGCCGTATAGCCCGCTACGTAGTCCATAGCGTTCTCCTCGGAAACATCTTTGCAAACCTTGCGGTTCGAAGGGTCGTGGTGGTGGTGGCCGATGACGATGACGAACTCGGCTTCGTAATCCGCCGCCTGATCTCCTACGAAAGCCTTTGGGATGACGGTCGGGGCTGGGTAAGGGTCTGCGAGGGCGGTCGCTGGTTTCCTATTGTAGAGTATAGCGGTTTGATTGTTTTTTTTTTTTTCGGTTCCATGACACGGTTTAACACAGAGCACCACAGAGCGTCAGAGGAAATGGGAGGTGGAAAGAGTACACAGCGGGTAGATCAGCTTGGGAACTCAGGCGAGACGAGGCGAGGCGAGGCGATTGCGAGAGATTATCAAGTGAGGATCGGATGGACGGCCCGGGACTCACATGAACAACGTAGGAACGATCGGGATATCCATCCCAACCTCTTTCGCATGGTTGATATACTATCCCCCCCCCCCCCCCGAACCAAACCAAACCAGCACGTCGCGTCAGCATCAGCCAAAGAAAAAATCCGCCTATAGCATACTGTACAATAGCTGTACTGTAGGAACATCGCTCAAAGAGAAAGAGAAAGAGAACTCGACCTGATAAAACGTAACGTACGTTCAACCCGATACACCTGATAGTCCCCACCTCCCCCTCACTTAACGGACTCAATATCCTCCCCACCATTACCTTCTCCCCCGTCCTCTGCCCGGGGCTTAAGACAGAGCTTCCAGTGAAGGTGGATACGTGGATGGGCTGGGAATTGTATGAGGCTAATCCGACGTCGAGGGTTGGGTCGCATGGTTCTCCTATAAGAGGTTCGTCGGAGGAGGTGGAGGCGGAGGTGGAGGTGGAGGTGGATTTGGGGATGAACCGGACGAGTCCTGGGAAGTGCACAAGCGACAGGTCGTAAGGCGGAAACCGAAGGGGCGATCGTTATCAGCCAAGATTTGATGACATCGACATGGCCCTGTTATTCGGGCAGCCACTCACGGTTGTAAGAAGCCATCTTAGAATATGATCTGTTCGTACGTTGTGAACTTGAAGTAAAGTTTCCGGTATGAGTAAAAGTGAGGTTCCCGGTAGAGGTAGAGACGAGGCGTCTGAACATTCTTTTCTCTACTCGAAAGACGGGATGGAGAGCGTACCACCGACCCGATGAATTCCTTTCATCCTTCATCATTATTATCATCGCGAGGTGAGAGGGAGAATAGTCCTCGTCGTCGTCGTTTGACCCGAAACACATCAACACGCCACACACCAAGCGCGAGCCCCGCCGTCCACTTTGCCCGCGCGCCACAACAGTCCACTTTCTCAAGTTTGCTACCCCTATCGACCCCTATTCATGCCGAGGGTCACATTCCCGGCTGGCCCCGTCCCGGACAAGACAAGACGTCCAAGTACTTCTGTAGAGACGCAGGTAAGCTCAGCTATAGTCTCCTAAATCCAGTATCGTCGATGATCGACCTTGAGCGATGTTCACTGCACGTGCACGAAAACACCTGATCAACAACACCAACCTCAACTTCTTAGCGCAAACCTCTCTTCCATCTGCATCTGCTTTTCGTCGATACATCATGTCCACCAGCACACCATCTACTACCCGAACCGCCGAGCCGATCAACCTCGTCTCCGTAAACACCGCCCCCGAACGCGCCAAACGTCTCATCGGGATCCTGATCGAGGACGTCAAGAATAGGTATAATATCAGGCATGCTGGGAATTCTGATAGTGAGTCCGGGTCGAGTTCTAGGTCTTTTTGTCTAGGTCGTGGAAGGGCGAAAAGCGAATTTCCGGGCGTCGACTCAACTCTGATTGTTTTTGTATTTTTGCGTTGCGTGGCGTTATGATGTATGATGAAACGACAGCCATCGAAGGCGTAAAACCGCTCTTACTCTCCATCCAACCTCCGCCTGGGATCCTCGTAAGTCCCGCTTCTCCTCTTTTCCTTCTGTCCCTTCCTTTCCTTTCTCCCTTCCACCTCTCTCCCCTTCCACCCTTCGCTCTTCCCATCCTCTTCATCTCTTCGCCGCACGATCGCTATCTCATGCCCGCGGAGCGAAACACCCCACCCCTCCCCCTGCTGACATCCTTATCGTCCTCTTCTTTTCTTTTCTCTTCTCTTCTTTACTTTTTCTTGCTGGTGAAAACTTCGCCCCCGAACCATCAACAACCGACCCCAAACCGAACTCCCAACAACAACAACGACAACAAAACAACCCGCAGTTCTGCGCATCGATGTGGACCCCCGAACAACAAGCCGAGATCCAACAGATCGCTCGGGACACTATTCCTGGGATTAGGACGTGAGTCCTCTCTTTCTACTTCTCCCTTCCTGGTATTCCCCTCTATTCCTCGATCGTCTTCTTTGTTCGTCTCTGTCCTCCACTCTCGTCCTTTGTTTCCCCCTGTATCCCTCTCTATCCCTCGATCGTCTTCTCGTCCTCTCTATTCTCCTGTCGTCCTCTCGTCCCTCTCTATTCGTCTTCTCTATCCTCCTCTCGTCCCCTCTCTCCCCTCTTCGTCGAGTACGGGACGGGCAAATATGTCTTCCAGAGTGATGTCAAGATCAAGTGCTTACGAAACCCCCCCATAACGTCCCCCTAACATGATAATTGATGATCGCAGCGCGGCCATTCCAACAGGCCTCCAAGTCGACCAAGGTCCCGAAGCTGTGGTGACGTTCTTGAAGGGGAAGATCGATGAGATTATGGCCTAGAACCTTTTCCCGCCTCACCCCCGACGCCCTCTCCTAACTCTCCCTTGACCTTGACGTGCCCCCGGGTACCCCGCCGCAATTTCGAAACCTCGAAACCTCGATATCCCGATACCGATACTCCGGGTTCGAGTCCATCGACTCGTGCATAGAACGGCCGTGCTCGATCGCTCGTGCTCGTGCTTCGAAATTGTACGCTTAGAATGAATATATATGCATGATGTTCATCGCTATGTACGCATTTCATACAGCCGGACATGGCATGGCTATGCGTTGTGACTCTGCTACGACTACAGTACGAGCCCAATTGGGTTTTGCTGATCGATCGATCGATCACCTTTCACTGCATGCATGCATCGATTTACACATCACGAGACGCTATCGAGCTCCTGCTCAAAACGACGTCGTTTCAAAAAAAAGTGATTCCCACAAGTACCAACTCGCAACTCGCAACTCGCAACTCGGAACGTTCCCACAGTCAAGCACCTCACTCCCCGTTCCCATTCTTCGCATTCTCCCTCTCCCACTGCGCGATCAACGCCTTGCCGTAATCCTCACAGTTCGGCAACCGGTTGATCGTGTGGATATGACATTTCGCCGGGGAGGTGTTGGTCAGGAAGACTATGCACGCGGGCGGCAAGAGAAGGTTGTACGTCAGCTTCACCGGAAAAGAGAAGAGAAGTAGGACGTTGCCAGCGCTCGAGGGATGGCTGGCGGTATCAAGTCTACTTACTCCCACAGTGAAAATCGAACTACGAGGTTGTTCACGGAAGATCCAAGCGATACGGAATCAGCCTCTATTCAGTAAATCACCCCAAGGAAGGCCCGGCGCTCACCTCGCAAAAAGTCATCGGCGAATGGATCCTGAAATAATACGGATCCCCCAGCCCGTACCCTCCTATCCACGCAAAGTACGTCTCTTCCTGGACCGACCTCAACCTGTTCATCCTCGCCTCGAGCGGTTTGGCGGGGAGGTAACAGTTGAACGCCCGGAGGATGGACCAGACCTGTTCGCGCTGGGGTTCGGTCATCTGGGAGATGGGTAGGCCTTCTGCCAGGCGCGACAGGCGACGAGCAAGAGAGGGTTCAGTTGGATGGACGGAACAGTTTGTGACATGGCGAAGATGAGGGCTCACCGAAGGGAACGATCCTGTTATCCTGCCGAGCGCCTCCCAGGTGCCTGTAAAATACGAAACAAAAAACGACGAGATCCCGCATCAGCCCCTCACCCGAAAGACATCACTCGCACAAACAACCTATCTCTTCGCTACTCACCTCTCATCGAAAGGGTTCCACCTCCCCTCCCCCAGCCCCTCCTTCATATCCACATTCACCTGCGCCTTCTTCCTATTCTCCTCACTCAAATCCCGCATCAAATCCAACCCCCGGATCTCTTCCTGTGTGAACAACCTCGTCCCCGCATGTGGGCCTGTGTCGATTCGATCAGGTTCCGCGCCCATAAACGTCGGTCCGACGATCATGCGCTTGCCGACGAAGACGACGTTCAGGCAGAGGTGGTGGCCGAAGAAACTCCATCCCCAGGGCCGGGTCAACAGGTCTAGGTCTTCCAGCGCATCATCATCGTCTGCAACACCATTCGCCTCCTTCCCATCCAACTTCGACCCCGACTCCGACCCCGACCCCGACCTTGACCCCGACTTCTTCGGCGACTCCGGCAAGAACAACCGGAAATTATAACTATGCTCATTCAACACCCCTTTCCCCCCTACGAGCTCCCCTAAGAACGCGTTCGTCCACGTACACCCGAGTGCTTTTGCGTATCCTTCGGGGGAAAGGGAAGTTTTGAGTATATCGTGGATCAGGGCTTGGGTTTGGGGGGAGGTTTGGGGGGCGTCTAGGCGGATACCGCCTGGGGGTCGGAACGTGCAAAGTAGATGGTGGGTCGAAGGTAGAAGGTAGTGGCGTGGTAGATTATAGATAGGTTGTAGGTCGTAGGTAGTCGACGATCCAGCGGAGCAGAATCAAAAAATCCAATATACGAGAATCAGTATCCGACCGCCGAACCCTGTTCCACCCCGAACCACTCCACTCCCCCACTCTCCCACTCCCCCACAACCCCTAAGCCCACCAAAGAATCACCCCTGCCGACTCACCAGGATTAACATACAACTCCGGATTACTCCAAACCCTCACCCTCTCATCCCCCCTCACATCCCCCATCCTGCACTCCTTCCTCTCCCTTTTACCCAACTTGCTCCATAAAACCTTGACCGCTTTTACAGCTTCGTGTACTGGGGCACCTTCATCCTCCCCATATCGGAATATGTTTGGGTTCGGGTCCCCGTCGGTTGAGAACCCCTTGTAGGGACCTTCATTACCCTCGACGGAATGGAGGTTCTGGTAGTCTAACCGGTTGATGAGCCAGCCTGGTTCGGGGATATCTTTCCTGGATTCGCACCAAGAAGAGGCCGTATGGTGTCCGATACCCTTGATCCGGGGGTGAGAAGGGCTGGGGATGAGTGATCTGAATGGGATGGTAGCGGAGGTCTGGGGGGTGGTGGGGTCGTCGGTTAGTTGGAAACCTGAGCCGGTCGGAGGAGGGGGCATGGCTGGGGTCGTAGTTCGGGTTGTGGTTGTGGTTGTGGTTGTAGCTGTGGTGGTGGTGGTGGTAGAGGGTGCGTTTAGGAGATGGTTCGAGCGTGTGTGTGTGTTTCCGGTTTCGTTTTCGGACAAGACGGTGTATATGGCCAGGCTAGTAGCTAGTAGGCTAGAGCATAGTCCGGTCAGAAGAGTTTCCTGTACCTTCTTCTCCAATTCAGATCAGAGTATATCGACGACCTTCGAACATCCTGCCCCCTCTAACCCTTTCCCGTTGCCCTCGAATCGACCGCCCCGCCCGAGTTGAGTCCACCTTTGCCCTACAACGATCCACTTTCCTTGTCGAGGTTCACGATTGAGGATGCCGAAGACTGTCGGTCGAGGGTGGTTGTCAAAGTCCGAACCCCGTCCATCCCCGTCCACCTCTGGGTAGATGTGATCCCGCCCGGCGATGCAGGTATCGACGTCGGCTCCCGGTTCGTTATTAATTATCGATTCTTGCCGATAGGCCTAAGTGGATTGTAGCTGACGAGTCGGTAGCTGGTAGGGAGCATGTTGAAGGAGGCCGGGAATGAAGTCGTCGAGTGGAACCAAGATCGGTGGAGAGGGAAACAGGGTTAGGTTAAAGCTACGGGGCTAACATTGTTATATCGATAATGCATGTTTGCACCCAATCAGCTAATACTTTCCTCAGATCCGATCTGGATGGGAACACCAATATTCAGAAGAAGATATGATCCCTCCACCTGTACCGATGAGATAACCCCTCACACCCGACAAAGGGCGTTGACTGCTAATCAACAGTTGGTAGGGGACAACCCCAGTATCACTATTCTCCGGGTCTACCAAGTCAACTACACCGGGGGACCTCATCAACTATCGAGACGAAGCACACAAGCCCTGAAACGGGTGGAACCTTCCGAGTTTGCCTCTGCAAAGAAGAATTCAGGGGCAACTTTGGGGCGGATCGGGCTCTTCTGACTGATTAGGATGACTATGAGCATAGGCCTTCCGATGTCAAATTTCGCAAGATTTTACAAATGGCTGGCCCTATTGCCAACTGAGCTTGCTCCGCTTTGCCTAACAATGACCGCACTGTCCTTGAGGTTCTCAAGGGGGTTGGAAAGTTGGATCAGCGGCAGATTGGGATGGATCTTAACCATCTGCAGAGGTACCAAGTGTATTTATTATGCCTTTCGTCCAAACGACGGGTCATTCTACGAACACCAAAGCAAGGGAGACAGCATTAAGGGAAAAAATGGAACCTATCAACCTGATGCAAGGACCAACAGCGACTTTGCGTCAATCAGAGACATTCCCAGGTTTGGCAGCATCCCTGGGCCGTACAATCCTGCTCCCGCTCAACTCTTGGAAGAAGACCACAACAACCGTAACAGGTTGCATAGCCCCCCAAATGAACCTTTCGTCCCATTTCATCCAGCTTACACTCCTCCACCTTTGTACCAGCCTCAGCCGGAACCCGACCTTGATGGCAATTACTGGCTCGTCCAATTGAACCAATATATAAACGACCCTAACCATAACGTACTTGACCCCTTCATAGGAGATCAACATGGTGGCTTCATCAAAAAGATCATGATAGTGGAGCTCAACACAACGCCTTCATCGAAGAGATCTCTGAGCCTATCAACAAGCCTTCTCCTCCTGCTGACAAGGAAGCCAAAATTGACTACAACCAAGCCTTTGTTGACTTGATCAAACTAAAAGTGAAGGGAATTGATCATCAGTCAATTGACAACACATGATCAAGAGGGTGAGTCGGCAAGGTCGGGTTGATGGATACCTCAATGGCTAACCGGCTGCATCGACAGATCGAAACGCATGTCCCTTGTACGAAGGCCAGGATGAAAACGTACCTGACCACTCGGACCAACTCTTTTGGGCCGCTCGCAACCCCAGAAGACTTTGAGGATATCGGTCTACCCAGCATATCCAAGAACGTGTCCAATGCCATGGGCAGGGGGATGGCCAGAAAGAACCTGGACACATTGGTTCTCCAGTCTCTCAACTGTGATACCATGGGAGCCAGCGATTACTGTGAGATCACCGGATCCAAGCTGTTACGGACCAGCCTAATTAGGTAGACCATGGTACTGCCATGGTCATACCAACCCGCCCTACTATAGTCAGACCATGGTTACACCATGGTCATACCGACTTGGCCACACCATGGTTGCACTATGGTCATGCCATAGCACACCAAGTTAGACCCCCGGCTCTATTCTGAATTAGTATATATAGCAGACCAAACCAGAATGATTGTACTCTTCTACTTTCATGTATTTCCTCTTCTTTCCCAAGAAGAATTATCATATGTTACTGTCACGAACCTAGTAACTCCCGACGACAAGGTATCACGAAACACGATTCGACCTCGGTTCCGTCTACAACAAACCTTTGACACGTCATGGAAGTTATCACGCGCGACAATCACGAAACACGATTCGACAAGCGCGCGCGCGCTTCTGCCTTCCTCACCTCGCTCATCCCGACACTTGACACGTCATACAATTCACAAATCGACCTTGTCAAACTATTCGAGGTAACCGACCTCACCGGAGGTGACAGGTACAAGGACGAAGTCAAGAACGATACGTTGGGGAACAGACATTGAAGGAACGGACGTCTGCCTACACAAAAGACGAAACGACCTTGGATAGGGACGGGAAGCAATTACAAGGTTCAATGCAGGGACAAAGGACGAATCGACAATCGTCGATGGACAAAAGACAAAAGCAAAAACAAGGAACGATATCCGACTTAGACGATACGCCGGTGATTGAAAGACAGCGAGGATCGACCACCGACGTTCTCCACCTTTGCCAAAACAATGGCGGACGATTCACCAAGATGAGAGGGACGTACGACCTTAGCATTGAATCGGGTAATGTGACGGACCTTAGAGAACAGACGGGGACCTAGGTGAAGTCAACAGCAGGCGTGCTTTCCCTTTCCGGTTTACTCGAGTAAGGACAAAATACGATTCGTTGGACGATCGTTGGGGAAGCACGAAAGGAGAAACGAGCGCAGTACTTATAGCTCGATAGGATAGAAGAACGATAGCAGTTGTATCCTTTCAACTAGAAGTTCAAGCTCGTTATTACATTTGAATCTTAGCATACGCTAGACGAAGAGGTTACAAACAAAGACTACAGAACAACATTTTCCACCGCCTTACCCCTTATCGAGCACGCAGTGCACGGCTACTCGTTAAGTACACTTCCCTATCTCTTTACCCTTGCGTACGACGAAGTGGTATTGGTTCTTAGGTCGATACGTAGGACGAATCGACTATCGCGACTAGCTACCACACAGAGACCTACACGAGTGACGATTATCGAATCGTAGTAACCACTCACACCAACCGGACGAATTACGATTGACGAATCGTTATTCAAGGATCTAAAGGCAACGGCTAAAGATCGACCAGCACCAGACGAAGCACGATTCTCGTCCTGAGAGCTCTGACTAGAAAATACATCCGATCAAGCAGACCTAGCACCGAGGTTCTGTTATAGTATCCGCGGTACGCGTATCAAACATCCGCGTCGGGTAGTTTTACAGGGACCTCCGATGGGAGTTCCCGTACGGAGTATATCTAGAACACCCCCTATGTGTTACTGTAATGTAGTACTAGTTGTACTACATCCGTTATTACATTCATTACCTTACCCTTACCTTCTAGTCCCGTGTGATACTATTCCAGGCTTGCAGGCAAGCCTAATAGAATAACGGATCTACAAACTTCACCCCGACTAGAAACCCCTACGCGATGAACACTTCGTTCACCCAGTGTTTCCGTCCCGATGGGACCCCCCAAGGAATCCCGCCAGGGATCTCGCCTGTGCTGTCCGAGGATGGACAAAGCCAGCAGGTAGATGGGGAGGGAAGGTTTTTGTGGTTGCGAACGACGGACTCCGGAACGGAGACCACCGCAAACGAATTGCGGGTGTTTGCCAACCAGCAACCTCAAACGCAGGCCACGCCGGCCAACAACATGGGAACGGTCCCCCCACAAGTGGTACCAACTTCTCCTGCGAGCAACCCCGCAGCCATTGCGACCCCCGCTGCCGCCGCGCCGGATTTGAACGCCCTCTTTCAAATGATGGCCAACATGCAAATCCAGGTGCTGGAGTTGGCGAGGGCAAGGGAGTCGCGGCCGTCTTCGGACGAGGCCCGGGCCAAACTGTTTAAGTTTGGAACGCCGGACAAGTTCGATGGCAGCAAGAAGGAGAAGGTCCGAGGGTTTCTGGACCAATGCAACCGGGAATTCGAGGTCAAACCGGGCGTCTATGTTACTGACCGCCTGAAGATGATGTACGCGGAGTCGTACATGGAAGGACAGGCCGCCGACTGGGCTCGGGAGTACTCCACGGGCCGAGTGCCGGCTACCTGGGAGCAGTTCGAGCAACTGCTCATCTCCACTTATGGTGGAGGACGAAACATCGCGGCAACTGAGGCCGAATTAGTTCACTTAAGGCAGGGCACCAAGAGCCTCGCGACGTACATCACCGAGTACAACGACCTCTTGGCCCTCCTCCCCAACGTCTGCGAATACTCTCGCCGGATGCTGTTCAGGGCCAACCTGAACCAAGCGTTCAAAGACGCCATCGTCCCTATGCCGGGCCAAGAAACAATGACCTTGGCGGAATTCCAAATGGAATGCCGCCGGTACGAAGATCAGGCGGATGCCAGAAGGCATGCGTCCTTGGGAAACCGCTACCACTCGGGCGGTAACCGACAAGCGAGCAACCACTCCGCTCCCCGCAACCCCGTTGTGGTCAATACTACCGTTGCGACTCCTACCCCCGCCGCCAACGCTTCCACCGCTGCCCCCATGGAACTCGACGCGGGCAGGATGAGGCGGAACGACCCCTGCTACCGGTGTTTCCAACACGGCCATGTAGCCGTCAACTGTCCCAATCAGAGGGTCCCTGCCCCTGCTTGGTTCAAGGGTAGGAACAACGGGCGGATGAACGTCTCTGGTGCCCGGGTGCAACCCGTCGAGACCGTCCCGGAGGGAGGTTGGGAAGCCGAGCTCGCGAGGCAGAACGGAGAGCAGCCTTTGCTCTGGACCCCGACTGATTAGACGTACGGTTGTGTTGTTATTGGCTCATCATTTGTTGTACCCCCACGGCAGGCCCGGCGGGGATGTTTTTATCACCATTCACTTTTTCAAGCACCCGACTTCACAGTGACTACGAGAGATACACTCACCAAAGTATACGCCATCAAAAGGTAACTGTACAAGAAGTACAATACGAAACATGTCCCTCGCGAGGAGTAAACGCATACTACTGAAGAACACAACCT